GATTGAGTCCACCATCAGCAAATTTTCAGATGATGCTAAGCTGGGGGGGAGTGTCAATCAGCTGGAAAGCAGGAGGGCTCTGCAGAGGGACCTGCACAGGCTGGAGAGCTGGGCTGATTCCGACGGGATGAGGTTCAACAAGGCCAAGTGCAGGGTCCTGCACTTTGGCCACAACAACCCGCTGCAGTGCTACAGGCTGGGGACAGAGTGGCTGGAGAGCAGCCAGGCAGAAAGGGACCTGGGAGTTTGGATTGACAGGAAGCTGAACAGGAGCCAGCAGTGTGCCCAGGTGGCCAAGAAGGCCAATGGCATCCTGGTCTGGATCAGGAACAGTGTGGTCAACAGGTCCAGGGAAGTGATTCCTCCCTTGTACTCAGCACTGGTGAGGCCACTCGTGGAGTACTGTGTCCAGTTCTGGGCCCCTGAGTTCAGGAAGGATATTCAGGTGCTGGAGCAGGTCCAGAGAAGAGCAATGAGGCTGGTGAAGGGACTCGAGCACAAGTCCTATGAGAGGCTGGAGTTGTTCAGCCTGGAGAAGAGGAGGCTCAGGGGAAACCTCATCGCTCTCTACAACTCCCTGAAAGAAGGTTGTAGCCAGGTGGGGGTTGGTCTCTTCTCCCAGGCAGCTATCAGTAAGACAAGAGGGCAGGGTCTTAAGCTGCGCCAGGGGAAGTTTAGGTTAGATATTAGGAAGAAATTGTTTACAGAAAGGGTAATCAGGCGTTGGACTGGGCTGCCCAGGGAAGTGGTGGATTCTCTGTCCCTGGAGGTTTTTAAGATGAGACTGGATGTGGCACTTAGTGCCATGGTTTAGTAATCATGGTGGTAGTGGATCAAGGGTTGGACTTGATGATCTTGGAGGTCCCTTCCAACCCAGCTGATTCTATGATTCTATGACACATATTCAAAGTGAATGACAGCTTGAAAAGGAGCACAGATATAGCTGCCATGCCAAATATGTGGAAACAGTTGACATCTAATATAACTGATAAAAGTATTGTGTATCCATGGTTGACAGCAGGTGGTGAAAACAGACCTACTAATCTGTCTGGGATATGCAGAGCTGTATAAATAACAACTCTTACAAGGTGAATCATCTCAATGGCATTAATAAACTGCATGAGCTATAATGCCTGTTTAGAAAGAAGAACCTTTCTAATCTGTGGGATCCTTTACTGTATTCCCTCTCTTAGAAAGATTTGAGTTTAATTAAGTGCTAAATTTTAATATTATAGCTTAACGGATTCTTGGTTAATGTTGCTTAATATGAAAGTTTTTACATTTAAAAATAAGCTGTACTATTGATTATTCTCCTTGCAGGCAGTGAAGTTGCTGAAGCCAGGAGGTGTTTTAGTATACAGTACATGTACGATTACACTTTCTGAAAATGAAGAGCAAGTTGCTTGGGCCCTGAAAAGATTTCCATGCCTCCAGCTTCATCCACAGGTAATAGTATTTTTAGGGTACTTCACGCAATCTAATGAGCTTGTTTTGGAACTGTAAAGTTACACACTATATTTACTATCAGTAAATCTCTTTTTCACCGTGGACAATTTTAACTGCTGTGGATAAAAATAACGTGAGGATTTCAGCTTTTTTAAAATCTAATTTTGTGCTTAATTGAGCTTTGTTTAGGGATCATTAAGTAGTTTCCCACTGTGTATTGTGGTTATTTTGATTTGTGCAACAGGCTTTTAAAACACAACAGGGACGAAAGATATTTCAGACAGATTAAAACTTCTCTTGCAATTGTTCTTTAATGCATGTATTTTATTCTGTTCTTTTGCACATTGGTAGGAAAGGTGAAAATTATTTTATTAATGCCACTGAAGTCGTGACGACATACATAAAGGATGAGACATAAGTGAAAATAAACTTGTGTTTTGAGGAAGGAGGATTTTATATGTATGGGTGCTATCTTTGCTTTATTTAAAGGAATGAGGGAACAAATTTATTTCGGGCTAGAATTTTTTATCTATACCACATACTCTGTACAGTTAAAAAATATCTGTTACCTTTATTAGTACTTCGAGGGAGTCTGTCCCTCCCACTGTATGCATCCCTCTTCCTCTGATGATGTGATAAGCTGGGTGGGGTAGTTGTTTATCGTCATGGCTTTAAGGAAAAATCTACCTCCAATACCTGTTTAGCTTACCTATACATTCTGTGATGACTTGTACCTGTCTTAAGAAGTTTAGATGAACCTTTTAACTGAAATTAACAAAATATATACAACAGGAATACAATAAGAAATTATATGAAGACTGGTAAAGATTTAACAGAATTGAAGCTCTTCTTCAAGGATTTGTTTGTTCTGTTCTTCTGTCTGCTTTCTCCCCATCCATTTACTAGGAATTTTTCAGTTCCAGCCATTTCAATTAAGATTATACATTTTACCTAACAATATAAAAAAAAATTCTCCCTGATATAATGACAAAGTGAAACACAAGCCCTATTAACTCAAATGCAAGATTAATTCTGGTTTAATAGACTTTCTCTCATCTGTAATATCAGTCTTAAATAAAGCACTGTTCTTCACACACAAACGCCATAACAATAAATTTTTTGTGAATAGTATATTTTAAATTAAATGAATTGTTTACCCATAGATAGTTTCTAGTACCTTATAACCAGTTCTCCAGTAGTGTAAAGTAAGGTGATCTTTTCCAATGAACAGGAACCTGGAGTCTAAGATCTACTTTCCTGATGTTCCTTTATTTATTTATTTCCTGTGTTCTTTAGTCACTTATTGGACTCCTTTTATACCCAGTTCAGTGTTTCCCCATTTCTCAGTTTGGCAACAGATCCTGGAATCATGTTGGGTAAGATGAGTAAGGAAAGAACAGGAGATGGAGCCATAGGTGTTGTTCTCATAGGTGGAAGTTACCACGTCGCAGCTGATCCTTTGTGCAGACTTACTTCCTCTTAGGCGTTATACAGGAGATACTGCAGATCAGCTTAAATGCAGTAACTGGAAGGAAAAATGAAAAGGTATACGAAAACACTGGTCTTTCTTTGAGCAAGTTGCTTGAACCTGTGCAATACTGTTTTTCATAGATTTCTACCTTTCCATCCTTCTACTGCATTACTTCAAGTTGCTACCCTTGTCTCCCTTTGTATGTTATTTTTCTCTCAATTTGCAGTAGACACCTCTTTTTGTCTTTTACCCGGAAAACACTGAAATCCTGTTGAGGGAAAGGAAGAGAAGAATCAGGCTGCAACCTCTTGGCTGCCCAGCTTTACTGCACACAGTATGTGGTTAAGCAGCTAACTCACATCATGTGCTGACTGGGTGAGATCATGTGTTTGCAAAGTGTGATGACTGACAAAATGCTGTGCTGCAGGCTGCATTATAGACTACATTAGACTAGATTGACAAAGGAGATCTACTTTTGATATTGCAGTGCCAGTTTTTGTACATTTTTTCTATTCCTTAATGAATGCATTGAAAGCAAATCCAGCTAAGAATTAGATTTCTTCCAGGAGTGTATTAAATAAAAAGCAGTCAAGGCTACTCACAAGAAACACTGAGAAAAGGGCTGTGATTTTAAGCCCTTCTCCTCTCCAGGATTTTGATGCCAAATGTCATCTCCTGAATTCAGATACCTAAGCGTTGCTTTCTTTTTTTCTCTGCCTCATAGACATACACATGTAACAGTAGTCTCTTTTATCTATTAGTCTTATTACATGACATATAAAAAATCTGAAGTTCAGATTTTTCTGCTGCATCATTTGCCAGAATGATGCCTCCTCAGGTAATAAAGTATTCTGGACTGGGGCATTCAGTCTCTGCAGTTGAAGTTTTCAATGTGAAGAATCCAGGTATTTCTACTACTGTTACTGAGTATATTAGTAATGGGCTAAGGAATGACTATTTTTGACTTAACTAGTAGCTATTAGTCAGTACACAGAAGTGCTGCATCATTTAAAAGTGGCAACCTAAAACCTTTGGACCAGCTGTCTGGTGATAACAGCTTTCTTGTTTCAGTCGTTTGAGTAATGAATTGATTTAGACCTGTGTACTCATCATCAACAAGTGCTTTAAGCAACGGGTTGAAGTGGGTGAGGGGCACCACCACCTCCTCAAAGTACTCTGAACCATATATATATGTTTTTATAATATTGGCCAGATGAAGGCAAGAAAAGAAGGCCACATTACTTCTGAATCCCACCTGGTGTGAATGATACAAACCTAGCTTTTCCACACTACCAGTTAAGTATTCTGCATATACTCAGCAGAATACATTTAAGGCCTTTAAGAATTTTACAGATGCAATAATCTGCTTTTCTTTGTTACTTGAACAGGAACCTCACATTGGAGGAGAAGGCATGAAGGGAGCTGGACTGACACTTGATCAGTTGAAGCTGCTGCAGAGGTTTGATCCAGCTGCTGTGACATTGCAAGGAATGGATATTAATTCTTTGCAAGATTCCAGAGAAGATGACCTGATCTCGTTGGCAAATAAGGACTGTATAGGATTTTTCATTGCAAAATTTGTTAAATCGAAGAGTAAATAAGAATCTGGGAATGCAACCTGAAAAAATACCTCAGTGAGTCTAAGAACAGTTCAGACGTGAAGTGCGTTTCTTCCTGCTGCAATGTTACCAAGCCAACGGACTGACGGCAGGGTTGCTATGGCAGCAGTAAAATCTGCCAGCTGTTCTGATGGGAAAGAGCCACAGGTTGCAGCAAGAAAGTCATGGTTGGGGGAAGGGAAGTATCATTTTTAAGTCTTCCTTCGCTTTTGTATTTACAGCAGGTCAGTGCCTGAATGACAAGTATGTTCACTCAAACTGGTGTTGCTTATCTGGTGCAGCAAGCATAGGAAGGGGATGTAAACTACTTTATGAAATGAAAACATAAATAAAATAAATGGGAGCTATTATAATGAATTTTTGAAAAGGAAGTTTCTATGGAGGTTTACTGATCGTTAATGTTTCATTAAATAGTGCTTCACAAAACACTGTAACATGTTACAAAGAACTGTTTTATAAATTGATACTTAGAACCTCATTTCTCTTTTATTTTAATACAAGCAAGATTCTCTGTACACATAGTATATACACAAAATACGATTAGGCTTTGTAGCATGTCTTTTATAGCAGCATGAATATATTAAACCATCTCACTCTGGGAATGTAAATAAATATTGTTTCAACATCAAACTTCCCATGCATAAACTGTATTGGTTCTGAAATAGGCTACTGGACTGGCTGACAAGTGACAATTTTAAAATCAAACATTTGCAACAGAAGGGGCTACAGTTATGATTAATATATTAAAAGACAGAAAACAATGCATAATACCATCTGAAATGTTGCAAATCACCTTTCAAAGAACTAAGAATATTAACTCTTTATTGGTTAGAAAGCATCACCAGCTAAAATCATGTGAAAATTGAAAATGGAGAAGCATGCTAATGAGAACTGCCTTAATACATTGCTCAAAGATTTAATAACCTAAATTTCTTAAAGATGTTAGCTGTATTTAAAAATTCTGCTTCAGTTCCAGTTTGAACAGGATTCTCTTTTTTCAGACCTGCTGGAACTGACAATAGCACTAAAATTAGAAGGAAAGGTAAGTACAATTCAAAAATGTAAACTGACATCTGTGTGTGTTTGTTTCTTTCCTCTCTCTCATCAATTTCCAGTTTTAAAAAACATTATCTGAAAAATGTCTGTCTTTTCACACATAACTATTTGTTGGATTAAAAAGAGTGATAGTTCTTTTATCATTTGTCTTTCTACTGTCAGAAGTGCATTTGTATTTGCTTGCAATCAAAACAATCTATAGATTTGCTTCTCAGTAGTCTGGTTGTTTACTTATATCTTCTATAAATGTTTTGGTACCATATGTTTTCTACTCTTCTAAAATAAAAAACAAATGTCTCCTGTTCTGCCAAGGTTGACTAGTACATCCTCTGTAAGTCCTATCCTAGAAGGATAGGAGGATGGAATTCTTGTGTACTACTCTGCTTTTGTTGGTCACTCCTTGCCATTAAACACAACATATCTATAGAATATTTAAAGTAATTTTGTTTCATCAGTAGTAGGTGAGATATCCTATGTAGAATCATGGAAGCTTGTACTATAAATTACAGTCTTTTTAGTCTAAGTATGGTTAAAATAATTACCTGGTAACAAATTGTTAGTATGTGTTGAAATCTTTAACTCGGTGCTAGTAAAAAAGCATTTTCTTTTTTGCAGAATATATAAATTTTGTAAACATTAATCAGCACACATAGACTATATACTGAAGTTTGTATATTTATATAAAGTAAGGAACTTTACCTCCAGTTTCAGTAGCAGGATTTGTGCAATGCAGAATTTGAAGGAATTAAGATTGGTGAATTTTTAGTGGAAGATTTGTTGAGACTTTGTCCCAGATTTCTTTAGTTTTGGATGATAAACACGCTTTTCAAGAAGGTGACCTCACTTGATTTTATATGAGAAATTTCTTGGAGGTGAAGAGCGGGAAGAAAAAGTAGCTAACTTCTATTTGATTCCGGTGTAATTGCAGACCAGACTTCAGCTGAAAAAAATTACTGATAGATGAACTTTAACTAATAGGTTTGTTTCTGCAAAAGTCAACTGCTAGACTTAAAACAGCATTCAGCATATTAAAGGGATAAGCCTCAGCTCTTTCCACGAGGCCGCTTTCCTTGTTGTAGCTGGGGAGAGAATTCGTCATGCAGTTCAGAACAGAAACTCGGTTGAGATGCTCCAAATCATACCTTGAAGGAGCCATCATCCTTTCCCTGACTACAGGTTTGGCTAATTTAGATGACTAAAGTTCGATGGATGCCCTTCTTTTTTTTTTTTTTTTTTCTCCTTTTCCAATCTTACTGTGACTTTAACTAGAAGTGTAGGAATGCTTTCTCATTGACACATTTCTGATGTATAGTGTATATATGTTTTAAATACATAATAGGATTAGTTTCCTATAAGAATCTTTACACACTGAATAATTATACTTCAGTGATTGGTGCTGAAGCACAGCTGAATATATATATATATATGTGCTTATATATACTATATGAGATATTTATATAATAAATTTAAAAAGATATTTTTCTTGTCATTGTAATGAAAGATTAATCCTACAAAATAGATTAGACATGCAATCAGATCCTGTCTGTAAGAAAGTCTGAAAAGTAGTTTTCTCTATCTGCAGAAAGAGTGATTAGTAATAGTGCCAAATCTAAATATTCATCTTGGTCAATATAAAGATACTAAAATAGGCAGCCTCATATATTATGAAATTATTATACAGCTTTTTCCTGTTTCAGTGTTGTGGAATGCACCATTTTTTGGATCACAGGATTTCTTAAGTTTTAAGGTAAAGGGAGTATTTTAGTAAAAAATAGGCTGGTGATGGTGATCAAAAAGGAAATTACTTTGGAGTGGGTAGTTCAAAATATAAAGAACCTTCTTTTTATGTTTGATTGTTCATGACTAAAAAGTTTATGAACAAATCCAATTTTGTACTGCATGATAGCATGATAGATAAAAGTGGCAAGAATAAACTAAGAAATGAGAACATGGATGAGTTAGAAGAACTGGCTTAATCTCTATTATATCTGATATAAATCTTTTTTGAGTTTGCGTAGGAACACATTTCTAGGGTGGTAAGTTATAAAAAGAAACTGTCTATAAAACTACTGTAAGCTCATATGTAACAGTTTGTTATATAAAAGTGGGGAAATAAATTACAGACAAATTGCCAAGCAATAAATTTGATTGAATCACATTTGATTAAAAACATTCACAGTAAAAATGGCATCCGTATTTTACAGATGATAGAAGAACTAAAATTTTGGTGAAAGATCTGCAATAAAGTAATAAATATAAGTAAATGTACACCAGAAATGTTATATTACACTCTGAAAAATAATTTCTCTCTTTTCCTTTAGACTGTGTAATCAAGTTTTTTGCAATGTGCTTGATTTTCATGGATGGAGAAGAATTTAAGTCAAAAACATTTGGGAAATAGCTTTCAGCCTGATGTGTTAAAGCAATCAGAGGTCAAACACAACCACAAACCAAAATAAATCTTGAAGAGTCTTTAGTAACTAACAAACACAGGAGGTGGTTTACACCAACTTTTTTACTTTGAACAGACATTGATTAAAAGCAGTCAGACCCCTCCCTTCATTCCAGCTGAGGGAATCATAGTGGACCCCATTAAAACCTTTGCAGGTGTCACAGAACTTGAGCATGACTTTACAACAGAGCTTAAAAATGATATTTACTAACAAACTCATAAAAGACAAGAAGTATTAAGGGGCAGGGTATTAGACCTGGGCAGGAACTGCATGTATAGGATGAGTAACCAGGTATGCAGGGAGAAGTAAGAATGGGTCTTTACTTTTATTCAGGGTTTGGTGAGTGGAATTCTGTTTCCTTATCCTCCATTTATAATAAGGGGTATAGGTTAAGAGTTTACAGATTTCTGTGAAGAGAAATGCTCCACTGAAACTCTTTGTGGCTTTAAAACTGATCTTCATTAAATAGGTCCAAAGCCTTAATTTTATACATTGAGAAGCAAAAGTTACAGAACTCTCTTCAAATTCTGGATGACAGACACAGAATATGAATTCATGAGCATTCTAGAAGAATTCTTTAAATTCTAGGCAATAATTTATGGATTGATTTAATAAAAATAGTTACTTTCAGCTCTTAACTCCTACTGATGCTGCCTCTGTGCACAAAACTCTTTTCTTATTCTTCCCCACTGTCCTGTCCCTTAGCTGGTCTGGAGACTGTTACTGTCACCTCCTTCCAGTCCCTCCTCAAGAATTCTTTCTTCCATGATGTCTGTGTGACACTAAACAACTGGTAAAAATAGACTCAGGCTACTCAGCACTGATGTATATTCATTTGAAAAAAACCACACAAAAATAAGATTCACGTCTAACATATATATATGCAAATTTGGAAATGCATCGCATTCCTTCCATGTACTGAAATTCTTTAGAAAAATACAGAGTTAGAGCTGCCAAGACTTACATATCACTTAACTATTTTATCTTCCTCTCCTTTCTTTTTTTTTCCACTGATTTTATTGTATTTTAGCTCATTTGAATAGAAATTTTACAGGTTGTTTCGTACCACACATACATAAGAAGACTGGAGCTCACTGGGACCTCTACCATTTCTCAGATTCAAACCCCTGAAACCAGATATAGAAATACAAACCCATTAGTATCCTAATGAAAACAATAATATTTAACTTTCTATTGGCAAAACTTTGCAAAGACATTTTATCACAATAACCTTTGATATGTTCTCCAGCTGGAGTATATTTAAAGCTTCTTATTGACATAACTCTGTTAAAGTGCTTTTCAAAGTAGTGCTCAGCAGGCAGGTGGTATTGTGCAATATATGTAGTACAAGCTCACATTACAAATGATTTCTCACTCTTAAAACAGTAACTGAAGGAAAGTATCTTAGCAAGGCTAATAAAAACCTATTCAGTGAGTCTGTCTAAGAAATATGCGTTTTTGTTAGTACGTTGTCTGTACATAATCAGCAGCACTATACAAAACATGTTTCTATGACTAGCTGGATTGGGACTTGTCCTTTTTTGTGATAAGATGTTTATACTCCATAAATCAATTTATAGGCCATACTTATATACTAGTGTTTGGACTATGCTCTTTATTTTCTTATGTCTATACATGGCTACCTACTCCATAGTTTTCATATACTACTCAGTGCTTTGAAATTCTGCCAAATATTCCTTAAAAATACTTCAAGAAAGGTGAAAAATAAATACTCTCTGGAGCAAAAGAAAAAACAAACAAACAAACAAAGAAAACCACAAAAAAACCCAAAACCAAACCAAAAACCCAACAGAAAAAGAACAAAATATTCAATGTATTGAAGTGGAATCACTTCTTAGAGGACATAGCCATCATGAGTTGTAGGGAGCAACAGCATTTACTGAAGCTGGTAAATTAGCTAAAGCCAGGCAATATAGAGCAAGACAATATAACTTCTCTTCCCACTTACACACGATCTGATATGATTCAAACAACAAAGTCTTGCAATGTTATTTTTCACAGATACCCTGAAAATTCTCTTGTATCAAAAGCCACTGTTTATGTACTCTTATATATCCATTTACTAATACAACAGATCTACTTACCTATTCTTCCTTTGTCTACAAAGTCATATAGTGATGTTTAGAAAAATGACGAGAATTTTATTTCTAGAAAAATAACCCTTTTTCTTGTGTTCCCCATAGTTCATGCTTTGAGCCAAAACCTACCCTTGAATAACCACAAGAGTCAGCAGCACTGGGAGGAATGGCCAGATGTCTGACAGCAGAATTTCTTACTCTCAGGTTCTTGTAAAAAATGCTTATAAAGCATCAGGGAGAGGGGTGGGAGAGGGAGAGGAAGGACAGAGTATGTTTAGTGGAGTTAAACTGAATTACTTGGACGCTGAGATAGGAGATTGGAGAAAACATGCACCTGCCATATATCTTATCCATTTCACTAAAATGATATTCAAAATCAGGCAATGCTGATATTCCCAGAATTTAAATAATAAATAAAAAGAACTTCCAGCTAATTTAATTATTATCGCACTACAGTCTTTATATAACGTGCTATTTACAGGGAAATACAAAAAGTATTTCATTCATACAAGTACTACAAAGACTATATGTGATGCAGAACAGCTTTTACACTAGGCAAGGGTATGGAACCTGGAGTCAAAAATAATAGTGAATTTGCCCCCACTTACCAGTGCAACAGGTGTTCAATGCAAAACAAACTGTTCACTCCCTTTGATTTCAATGCATTTTCTCTAGAAAGCTCCTAACAAAGCATTTTGTCACAGTCATTTTTCTATACTCTCACCAGCAGCACAACATCTTAGGTGAAGGAAAAGCAGTGAGCTGGCTGCAGAGTGGGAATGCAGAGGAATTGGCAAGTGTAGAAAAAGTGGAGAAGCTACAAAAATTTATTTTCCAACAAAATATCTCTCCACAAGCTGTGTAAACTTTTCTTGCTAAAACAAATACTCTAGAACAAAGATTTTACATTTCCAGTGAAACTCACAGTAACATTTGCCTGTTTTTGCTCTCCCGAAGTCTCAACAAAGAGCCAGCAGATTTCTACTTTCCCAGTTACTTGGGTCAGTAAACTCCCTCATATTCCCTGACTACAATTTGGATTTTTAAATTAACAGACAGAATGAAGAAACAGACTTTTTGGGCTGTTGAGTAACCTTTGTTTTCTTCAGTAGATTCTCACACTTCACTGCCTAATGTGCACACGCACACGTACGCCCATCCACCGCCCACCACTCACATACACACCTCCAACATGTGTGCTCTAGTATACTGACAACAGAACAAAAATTAAGCTGTGCCCATTGCAATCTTGTGACCTGAACAGAGAAGAATAATTTATAGTGGTAAGTCATTATCTTTACCATAACCTTGAAATGCAAAATTGGGTTTGCAAGGACAGCATAAAGTAAAAGAGTTACACCCTTTATCTCAAGCACTCATCCATATTTACAATAAGTATAAGCTTTCTGCTACAGAAGAAGAAGTATTTAGATTGAACACTGTTACAGATTTCCTAAGTGAGGCTAGTTCCAGTTGCCAGTAATTCAAAAGCAAATCTGTTGACTTGGCATTAGGACTCTAAAACAGTGTGATCAAACTCATATAGTAAGAAGGTGTCTGCAGAAATAACATTTATAAACTGTATATACAGTACACAGTACCAGTACATAGAAAATAGATTTTGACTCCATGATCCCCTGTGTGTAAGGCAAGACAATTCTGTCTTCATATGGAGACCACCAGAGGTACAAGCGACAGAGTGGTGCTTAAATCAATATGCAAATCAAGTGCATACAAATTAAAAATCAGAGCAGACAAAAAGTTTTAGATTCTTTTATGTGCTGATCTTGGCTTGCTGAATACACGGGAAGTTATTAAACATCAAATGTACCTTTTTTTTAAAAAACACTAACAACACCTTGATGGCAACAGATATTGTTCAAGTGGCAGCTACCAAAAACAGCTTGAAAAATGTCATAGTACAACATCAGGAACTCTTCAGTTGTACCACACTAATTCATATAGCACTAACCAAAAAAATAAGTATATGAATATTCTATTTCATGCTATTGCTATGCAAGCAACAGCAATACAAATCAGCATACAGAAGGATACCATGTGTTCTGCAATGAAGAACCCAAAGATATTTTCAAGGGCCATTGTTACAAGACTTCAAAGAAACACAAGACTGCCAGAGGCAAAAGTTACTGACGGATGTAAACATCCCTGTTCCATTCTCCCGCATCATTACGTTTTTTCGATATCACTTCCCCATCCTTGTCACAATATTGGTCCCTTGATTTATGACGACTACGCTGTTTGTTGCATTCATTGTGGTCCTGCTCGCGGTCCCTCTCCTTTGAGCGATGCCTTGATTCTCTGTGTCTGTGATCACTGCTCCCATGGGACTCGTCTCTGTGATTATGATCCCTGTGAGAATCATAGTGGTCACCGTGGTCATGTGAGTAGTCCTCCTTTGGCTCTACATAAGCTGAATCTCTGCTGTCTTGTGTTTCTGAGTCAAAAGTTTCTTGCCTGTGAAGGCCTCTACCACCACTGCGATGGTTGTGGTGTTGGCTTGAGGAAGAGCGGTGCTGGGATTTCTTGATGGGTTCAACTCGTGCTTCCTCTTCAATTTGTGAACCACTGCGTTCAGGGACCGAATGGTCATTCCTCTGGTCTCCTTGAGATCCCTGCTATCAGAACCAGCAGTAAGTTCATGTACATGAGGTACACACTGAAAAACTTTCTCCAATATCAAATTCAACTAGAAAGTACCATGAAACCAATAAAATTCGAGTACACAACAATCCACTTTGAATCTAAACTAGGAAAAAACCCATTAGAATTCAACTTTTACTCAAATTCAGTATTATAATACAAACAATTCCTTTCACTCTCATCAGAATGGAGGGTGGCACTTGGGTTATTCTATGACACTTTCATGTCTCTTGTGATGTTTCTGACTATTCCAGTTAGCAGTAAGTGTCACCACCCTCCAAACAAAAAGAGCATACTGAAACAAGATAAATTGCAGGTATCAGTTGAGAGTTTACAGATGTCTGCTTGGAAACAGCCACTATGGGAAAGTGATTTTAGTGGGCTGAGGAGGTTGATTACTCGAAGAACCAAAGCACAAAACCTTGGATCTTCTAGAAAAACTTATTTTTTTTAGGAAAAAAAGCGCAATTGAATCTGGTATGAATAAAGTTTGTATTATGATACTAATAGTATCACTGACCTTTTGTTTTCTCAGCAATCATTTAATTTCTTCATTGTAATGAAAAAATTACCTCATTGACCTCATTACCTTATTGACCTCATAATTTTTAGAGCTTGAGAATATAGACCATTGCCAAGAAAAGCAGGAGGAGAGTGATATTATCACATACAGAATTTCCTAACACAAAACTGCTATTAAAAGACTTAAATAAAAATTACCAGGTAATAAACCTACTCTTCACCCGCATAATGCTTTGAAATCACTGCAAAACGAACAAGTGACATTATTTAACTCATCTGGGGGTTTCATTACATTAACCAGCTTTTGTTGCCAAGCCACAGCCAAAGACTTTTCAAGCTTAATCGCAACAATTTTAAGAAATAGTTTATGTTGAAATCGAATTATCCTTCTCATAAGAGGTGAAGAATGTCAAGACGAAATCACCTTTGCTGGCACAAAATTAAAATAGGTTTTAGCAGAGGCATTTGTTTGTGAGACTACTCTGAATTTACCAAAGTTAGGCTTAAGTTTGCCCTTCTATGTTCAGAGTTGTCTAAAAATAAGGATTGCCTCCAGGAAAGTTCATGGACATATCTTCCTTCTGTCTTCGGAAAAGAGCTAGAAAATTTTGTCCTTCAGCCACAGATCCTGGCAGGTGGGTTTTCTAGCAACCCAAAAAGTAAAATGACAGGAAATTGGACAGGAAAAAAATCTGTATTTCATCAGAAACTTATAAAAGGCAACATATTTCAAATCAGCAATTTGATAAATTTGACAAATTTTAATTTTCTAAGAAAGCATTTTATTCTGTAAACTTTCCAGCAACTAGGTGGCTTATTCCATGTGTTCCTAATTTGAAAAAAAATGGTATAGATGAGAGCAAGGTAACAGGAACAGCAGTCAAATTTCTTGTTTGTTCTTGTTCTTATGATTCTCAAGATGATTCTAATTTGCCAGAAAGGAATGTAGTAATTGTAAACATGAATAGATGTGTTCAAGGTGAAATGAAATGACTCAACAGAGGTGAACTGTAAATGAAATCAAGTGAAAAGTGAAAGAGTCCAAAGCAGTGCCTCTTTCAATGTGTAAATACAATTTTTATCAGTTCATCACCATGACTGTTTTTAAGGCACATAAATTTGGTATACATATGAAACCCTTTCATTCTCATACGGTCAAATGACACATATGTATGTATGTAATCAGGACTACTAAAAGCCATCATTGCTGTGGTTTGAGAGCAAATGCAAAATGTAAACCTGCTTTGAACACAGTGCTACTTTTACAAGCTCAGATGCATGTTTTCTGCTATGACGAGTACATGTGAAGGAGCATAAGGAATGAATTTAGACATTACCTGCAATTTCAAAATAGTGTAGGGCTGTTGGATTTTATGGGCAAATTCATTTGCCCATAAATGTTACAGGGACACTGAACAGGTAATGTGTGAATCTGGATTAGAGTCTGGCTTTGTGGTTCATAACCACATTAGGGCTCTGATTTGGATTAGATTCTGCTGTGCTGGAATTTTATGGCCCAGTCTCATAAGGCTTTTGTCTAAAATGGAGAAAGTTTTAGATAAGCCTATTTCATTATTTAGGCTGTAATTTCAAAGAAGTAGAGGTTCTTAGAAAGACGTTTAAGGAGTGTTGAGAGGAGAGAGAAGTCTGTGTCCACCAAGTGAATTTGCCTTGCTCCCTATTTCCATGCAGTGGTCCCTGATCGCCTGCACCGTGTGTGTGTGAGGTTGCTCCAGTCTTGTTGGAATTAGCCAACAATTTCCACACAAGTTTGCTCCAAAGCTCTCCATCAGGTAGACAGGAGGTGTATGGTCTTTGCTGATTTAATTTCAAACAGTCCCAGGAGGCCTCACACCTTCAAGCACCTCGTGCCGTGCAACACAGTCAGGATCATTCTATAAAAACATGACTCTGGCAGCTGGCAACACAAATCTCTCTTTACAACATACACCCAGGACTGAAAAATCACGAAAAACAAGTATGTTTCATGGCAAAGGGGCACTGCATTGGACTTGGGGGAGGATGTCTCCAATGCTTTGCAGTGCAGATGTGGCTCCTCCAGGCTAAACAGCTGGTGGTTTGGCCTTTCCCAGCAGAGCAGTCCACAAAAACAGCACAGGTAGAGACTTTAAATTCTCTAAATAGAGGATCTTAACACTGTTGAGAGAACGGGTTATGCCACCATGATAAGGAAATAAAACCATTCTGTGCCAAGACAGTGACTGGCTCAGGTTTTAGATGTCAGCTGAAGATGTATCATAGGAAAATGAAACCAAAACAATGTAAAAGTTCTGTGTTCCATAAGGCACCCCTGTTGATTCACACTTCTGTATTAGTAGACCTACAAACAAACTGTGACACTGCAAATACACTCTCATTTTTAGTCCTTAAAATAAAAATGTTAGTTTGTAAGGAGATAGCACAGCATTCAGAAAAGTGTTATTAAAACTCTTGTAATAGTTCCTCCAAAGAACGTGGTTATTAAAATGAGTAAGTGAACTATAAATCCACATCCAAAAGGCATAAAAAAACTTGAGCAAAATAATTAAAAAGTTTACAAAGCAAAAAAAAAGTTTATCTAGCAAGTCTGCACACAATAAAACTGAATTTCATACTCAGAAATTCTTCCAGCTCACAATTTTTTCAGGGTGTTTCAGCTCTGAGGACAGAAAAAAAGGCAGAAATGAACTATAGCTTACAGTCTCTTTTCCTGCAATTGCTTTTGAAAGCAAGAGAAGGAGATATCCTGCAAGGTGACTAGAGAAATTTTTCTTGTTAAAGAACAAAACCATAAAGTCTGTGGTTTTCTAATGGGAAATTCTTTGACGCAAAAAATGATTTTGCAAGACCATAACAAAAAACTCCACCATTTTTTTTTGTATTTTAATTGGGGTGCAGATACATTTTTTTCTTTGATTTTCTAAAAGGAGGCTTTTTTCTTAGCCAAAGTTATGAATTGCAACTTGCATATGTATGTAACTTATGGGCATATATGGAACTCAGGTAGAAATTTAGATGTAATTAGCCATTATTTTATCTGGGACAGATGTATTATAACCTCCACAGTGATCTTCTCAGCCTCAAGGCAACACTCACTATTTATAATTAAGTATCATCTTTAAAGACCTCATTTTATGCCATGCAACAAATATCCAAATGACAGCATCTCCTTATGCTGAGCACCTTAATATAATTATGCAAACAAAAAGTTGAAGGAGAATAGAGGGGACATAATATGCCCATATCAATGGGCACATCAGTGCAGAGGTGGGAATAATGCCTGTTTTTCCCAGCTCACTAGACAGTGTCCTCGCTGTTCAGAACATATTGCCTCTCAAGGTCTTTCTGCACAACATGTGCAGCAGGACTCAAGTTTTATGTCAGAGTTTGGCTTGAAGGAAATATGTACTTTTCACAGCAGTGGCCAGTGAATAAAAGAACAAAGAAAACACTAGAAGGGCCACTTTGACCTTGAAACTTTACCAATAGAGTCAGTCATTCTCAGCCTCTACAACTCTATAGCCTATGGGAAGATTGGAACAGATTTCCCTCCAAAATTTGTGGATCTGCTCTGTACATAACCCAATTTGTCATGTAGGGTCTCTGGGGCTGGGATTTGCCTATTAGCAATAGTCTGCCCATCAGTCAGAGAGTTACCAGAGGCTGTAATGTGCATAGTATTAGCCCATTTTTATTTCTCTGACTGGATTACATATGACCAGCTATAAAAATGCTTGTGGCTGGTACACATATTACTGGCACAGTGGTGTCCTGGGCACAATAAAACCTGAAGTATTCCACTTCACATCAACATATGTTTTCAGTCAGGCTGGCTAAGTCCTTGAAATCAAAACCAGCCCCCTGGTCAGTACACAAACACATGCTACTATGAATACAATAGTAATAACGATAGCATGCTTGTGTTTGCCTTTTATATTGAAAATTGTTGAATGTTCACTGAAAAAGCTCTTACTCTATCAACAACAGTGAAACATATCCAGCATATTCTAGTATCACTGTGCTTTGGAAGAAGAAGAAGTTGACAGAAAAAAAAGAAGAGATAGTATAAAAACTGTACCTGTAAATTAATATTTGGACCTGGGCTAATAGGAAGAGTGGCTGTTGCAAGTGTGCGAGTGAGAAGCTGGTTAGGAGGATTGCTGCTAGGTGGATGTGTAGCCTTCCAGTAGGCTTCCAGATAGTCAGCAAGGTGCTCACAAGCATCTTCAAGCTGGTTCTCATCAAGAATTACATCGAACATTTCCTGATAAAGGAGAGGTTCTAGTGAGAATAATCACCAGCTAAAGGGACATCAGCTAGAGACATTGATCACACTTTCCATTCATCAAAAATGAAGCACATTTCTAGTACCTGTATTAAGATATTTTACCTTTTTTGTTTGGTTTTGTTGTTGTTGTTGTTTGGTTTTTGTTTTTCTGAATGCAATTGATACAAAAGACAGCAATCATAACTAGCAATAATGTTGCTAAAACAAGTCCTCATGACTTCCACTTAGTAATGCACAGTCAATGAAGACATGAAGAAGCAGCTTGAACAAATCTTAAAACTCAAATATACAGAAAGAAGTGTTAAATATTGAAGTATTTAGCTATAGGAAAAAAAATGAAACGGCAAGAAAAGGGATCACTCCCCATATCTAGAATAACTAAGAGAACACTAAGACAAACTAAGACCAATAACTAACAACAGTAAGAAACACAAGTAATACAGATACTTCAGTTTCCAAGTGTCGTACAAATACTAGGCAAGAGATTAGTCACATGGTCTAATTTTAGGCTTCTGAAGTTAGAAGGCGAGTTTCCTCCATTTCCTCCCTGTTCAGGGAGCCAGAAGGCATCTTTGAGGGCCTGTGCAGGTCTCTGTGAAGGTCACTGAACTGAACCTTCATTTTCTGGTCTCTTACCCATACTCTTGACAGCTGAGTATGCTGGTAGCAATGCATGTCATGTTTAAAAAACAGTTGGGGTCTCATCACCTCTGCTTTATGGTGGAAATTGAGAGAATTTACTTCAGTGCACATCACCAGAAGAACTGCAGAGCTCTCAGGTACCCCTCAGCTCTTTGCCGAAACTGTGACCAAGAACATAACAGTAGTGGCCATGGTGATATATGCCCCAGGGGAGCTACTGAAACCATTGGCCTTATCCTAAACTACCAGAGATAAAGCATAGTCACTGAGAGGGTTCAATTTTAGGCCAAAAACACCCTAAAATTTTCAAGCAAAACAAACATTCAGTTTAGTGAAGCACTGAATGTATCAGCACACATCCTAATAACTGCTTGTGACTAGGACTTTTTTTCTCCCCTGCACCCTTGTGACGATCCCGGAGCCCTCAGGAGGCATTCTGCAAAAAAGCAATAGTGAAGCATGGCCAGAAGAGGGCAAACATTCCTGAAAATTACATAATAAACCTTGTGCTTGAAAAGAAAGGCACCTTTCAAAGACAAGACATAAATTAACAGTAACTCACAGGAGGACACTGTGCCAGTTTATCAGCTGCCACCATCTGAACATTAAGGTGTTTGGCCTGAGATTTCCCTCGAGATTTTATCAACCTCTGTAAAACCTGTGAAAAGCAAGACATTAATGAAAGTGACCAAGTTCAGACTTCATGTACATATATAACCACTTAAAATGTTCACATTTTAAACTGCTCACTTGAGCAGAGCAAAATCTTAATTTGCTGGCTTCAGGAACATTTCCCATGCTCTTTAATCCAGAATGAGCTAATTTTCATTAACTTCCAGACATCTTTTTGTTACAGTCACTAAAAGGTCCCTCCTACTTTGCTCTGCTGCTTCTATTTTTTTTCTAAGCTGAATTTTTTTAATTGATCTCCTGAGTTCTCTTCCCACAAATTCATTCTTTTCTTTCAAATGCCTCTTCGCAAGGTCTGTGCATGGTTTTTTCAAGGAATGAAAGATGTTACAGTTTAGCAATCGTGTGAAAATGTTTCTTTCCTTTCTGTATTATTTTGATTCAACAAACCATTAGCATTACTTAACGTGATTGATACTAAAAGTGCAATCCCAACTAGAAACCCCATTGGAGCTACAGCATCTTTTCCAAAATGGATCTTGGTAACACTAGATCTGAGATACCTTTTTGATTAGTAATACTTCACCATCCAAAGAGAAGCAATAACAATATATAGCCTCTGAACTTGAGTGAAGACACATGATTATCTGAACTTAAGACCAAAAAATAAAATTTAAAAAAGACTGAAAGAGCATGAAAGTGACTACAATACTTACTTTAGGAGAAGAAATCTTTACGTATACTATAATGGGAGCCAGAGAGGTTTTGCTTAGTTGAGCTGGGTGGTTAATGGTATCAGCATCAAGCACTACTAACTGCAGTGTCCTTGCTAATTCAAAAATCCGTTCAATTTCACTTTGAACTTCAGCTGCAGAGAAATAGAAAATCAGAGTTATAAAAATACTAAGAGGTGACTAGTTTGAAGAAATGTAAAAATGTTGTAGATTGGTGTGTTGCTCCTCCTCTGGTTGCAGGAGTTGTTATCTGTGCACGTCCCTGGCCCACTACAGTAATGAATGCAACATTAACGAGAGCATTTCATCCCCAGTTTGCTGCCTTTGCAGGCAGCACAGCCTGCCTCTTTCACCTCACCGATTCCTGACATTCCAGACTGGAGAGATACTGTTAGCGCCTTCTTACAAAACCTCAGATCATGTATGTAAGAAAAAAAAACGTATGAATGCCTGTTGCATCAAACAGTAATCTTACTATGCCAAAAATTTCTTACATGTAAATAATTTCAGTTCAAACTTTAAACTTATGCAGTAAACAGTTTGCTCAAATTGGAGTGCCTGAGATAGGCATTAGGAAGTACTGAAGTGCCTATATTAGCAGAAACTCATGTTTTTCCATTTACTTCAACTTACCAAAGCTCTGGAAAACAGTTTCCTTCATATACTAGCCTCAGTATGGTACCACGTAAAAATTTTGATTATTATGTGTAAAACACTTTTTCAGGAGAAATAACTCAATAATCCAAATAATGCTATGGTGTCTTCCTCACAACCCCAGAAGATCTGGAAAGGTGATTTTCCCAGAGAAAAATCTTCTCTTCTGGTAGTCATGCTCCCAGCTCCTCAGCACCCTGTTTGACTGGTAGTACTTTTCAGGACAAACCTCTCCAAGACAGATGGGCTGCATCCACTTTCACAAGTGGTGTAGAAACTGTCTTCATTCCCCAATGAAACAAAACTGAATCTTGTAATAGCAAAATCATCCTTGAAATGGAATCACATTTTCCTGCTCAAATTTTCCTATAGGCTGAGAAATTACAGAAGCTAGGTGATTTGTGCAAGTCTGCAAAGAAAGTCATCAGGTAGACAAGGCAGTGATTCATAAAAGTTTCCCTTTAAAGGTCGTGCACACTACATGAACCAAAATCAGATTAGATATCTTGCCCATTCAAGGTAAATATTAGAAGACAACCAACAGAAACTTAAAGGTCAATAAGAGATACCAAAAACTTAATAGAGAGTTTCTTGAAATTACACTATCAGCCTTTTATCCATTGTACTGGCAAAAGCTTTACTTTTGCTTGGAAACACAATCTATGTGATTAGAGAGGCTCTCTTTCAAGACATGTGAAGAGATCGATTTTTGATATCTTAGAATAGCAACTGAATAAATCAGGTACCATAATAAGGCTGCAAAATTTCCAAGAGAGAGCAAGGTATCCCAGCTAGTTTAGCTCAGTGTTTTTGTTCCAGACCAATAGGTGATTGCTATGGTCATTTTATAAATGAAGTAATCTCTAAATGGTCAGCAGAAAAATCTCTATATTATATCCTTTATTAGAGGAGGTTGACACTGTTTTGGATCTATTAGAGGTCACTTCCAGAGGTCTGTAGTTATCTCCAGTTTTGGGTGAGTACATGACAGTCATTTACAACAGCAAACACTGCGAGGTGTGGATGGCATATGGAAAGCATTGGTGCATGCTTTTCTGCTGGTCAATGAAAACACTGTGGCCCAGCTGCTGTCTGAATTAGGACCACATTTTTTAAGGCAGAACTGATGGTTCTTGGCACATTCATGATTACATTTTCTGCAACTTTGCTGTGTAGAGACACTGCTGAAGTCACTGAACACTGTTGTCTCAGAGTTTTGGTAGAAGATAGTCAATAATCTAAGCCTAATTTAAGTCCAAATGACAACTAGAATAAACATATCAGAGATAACTTGTTCTGATGACAAGTTTGGATTCCTTTCCTGCAATTTCAAACCAGGCTCAAAACTTCAGTCAGTATAACAATATCAGTTAATGTATCATTTTAAGACCATTCCAGACTGCTAAAAAACCCTTGTTCAAGACAATTTATAACCAGCAAAATCTGCCTCTATGCCATTGTATCATAATTTTTTCTGGGATAACAGTATTTGCTACACTGCTGGAAGCACTTTTCTGCCACTACAGAACACATCTCTGTGGACTAGATTTCCTGATATACTTTTTGAATCTCGCTTTGCCAGAGCATGCCTCAGGATATGTTCTATTGTGAAATATACCCAGGGTAATAACTGCAGGTAACTATGGCTCTGTGAACCAATAGTTTCCACTTGAATCTGAAGATGGAGAGATATCTTTTTCATCAACTAAAAAGTATTTCAGTACTTATTTTTCTAAACATGAATGTAGGAGAGAAGGTCAAGGAACTACACTGCATGATTGGTGAACTGATATGTGTGCCTCTACTTCTCCACTCAAGAATGGTTGGGAAAAATGCCAGAGACTGATGAAGAGGTCCCTATCTTCTGTTCCTTAGAGCACTTCTTCAGCATCTGGAAAAGCTTTCATTTCACTTGAAATCTTCTTTGAGTTCTAGCTTTACACATAAGATTGTGCCAATTACTTACATAATAGTAGCTTCTCTTTTTAGACGAGAAAGACTTTATCTACTGCTATAGCTTTGGTTTTCATCTTTCTTTAGTAACATCTCTCAAAAACCTAATTCTATACCCATAGATTCCTTCACAACAAGACACTCAACACAAATCTTCTCTCAGACGTTTGCCCAAAGTAAGCAAAGAACTCGAAATGTCATCTGGGGATAGTAATACAAATGTCACTGATAGTTAAAATAGGGAGCTGAGAACAGTGACAGAGGGGTATCTTCAAAGCAGCACAGCAATAGTTTTGCAATCTTCCCACCTCCATGAATACTGTCTATTTAGAATAATGTCCCTTCTTATGTACTGGAAAGGCATAACTGGAGTGAACTTATAACATTAAACTCCAATAAATTGTATTTGCAAATCATGAGAGGCATAAAAATAATTAGATCTACTATGACAACCATCATGAAATGCTGGCAGCCCAGCTACAACACTCAAACCCAGAAATTAGCTATCAAATTTTAAAGTCACCTTACAATCTATTTCATATGGCCTCCTTTGTAACCAGAAAGCAAACATATTTTAAATGACAGGAGCATGTAACTAATTATCCCATACAACTCTAAGAAACAGTAAGTACGCATCTCCCAGACATCTTTAAATATAGTACATTTAAACTTATTTCCAAATATTAATTCTCAATATCCTTACTGCACCTTGAAATGAAATTCAGTGCAATGAGAGCATTAGTAAAGAGCTTATCCCATTATGGGGGCAGACAAATATTCTTTACACCAGGTGGACCTTACAAGTGAATTTCAAGCAAAAGTCTTTAACAGTTCATTACAAGAATCTCACCTGAAGTAAAGGCAAAGACACAACACTGCATTTTATCTATGTCAATTCACTAATAACATGGTGAACTATGGTGGAATTTAGAGTCACTTATATAATGCCATGGTAAAAGAACATTCTCTATGCTCCACAGTTGGACAAACACAACTATCCTTCAGACTTGGGCTGAAAGCATCCATAGCAGCCAGGAGTCACTGGGACACTCAGCTTGACAGAGCAGTGGCTATGTTAGCACTTAGTTTTAGGAAGACCCTGATGAGATGGAAGTTTCATGACAGGGACGAGACACAAAATGGACATGCTTCTGGCCTGCAAAGGCCAAATTAGAACCACAAAATATTGCTTAAAAGCAGCAAAGAGACTTTGATCTTCACAAGGAGCAGTGAGGTTCACAAACTGTCAACTGTGCACAGTATGACTTTTATATCCTATTTAATTTGACCTTGGCTACTGTCTATGGTATCAGTGGCTCTGTTTTGTTCATAGAAACAGATATGTAAATTATTACTTGGATTGCAACAGCCACAGACAAAGCATTCTAGTTTTTTAAATGGGGTTCCTGATACTACAAACATATGGCATGAAAAGAACTCACCTAAGTCAACATATGCCATATAAAATGATTAGCAGTACCTTGCACAAAGGGCTTTCAAATAATTCTGTAAATTAAGGAGAACAGCATCAGTAGCCATGATTTTTCTTATCCTAAGTCTTTTATACAAATACAGTTGCTTGAAAATAACTAATTACTAAAGTCCATGACTATAATTAGAGTAATGAGAAGTTTAAGGTAACCTCTCAAATTCACAATCAAGGTGAAAGAAAGAAATGTGTTTTTTATTCCCAGTGCTTTAAAAGTATGTCGATTGTCTTGCATCAAAAAAAAGAAAATGCTGAGAAATGAATAAAGGTCATATCTGAAATCCAAGAAAATGAAAACGAAAAAAAAAAAAGGAAACGATAACTATTGAGCTGGGCCCACACAAGTCTCAATTAAGAAGAAAATCATGAGCTTGACTGACAGAATTAAAATTTTAAATTTTAATTTTTGAACATGTGTGTATACAGGGTTATATTGAGTGAAAAATCACAAATGTCTACATTAGGTATTGCTGTAAACCACAATGCAGGTACCTGGCCACAGCAGGCTACCCTGGACTGCACTAGATATTTGTGCTCACTGTATACAAAGCGAGGAGGCCAAGAAGCTACCGAGGATAATCCAGTAAGCTACACAGTGTTTGAGCAGATCAGAGCAAGCTAACAAGAAACCCCACACGTACATAAGTGTTTGGCCTCTTCCTTCTCATCTTCCTCTTTCCTCCCCTCAAGCACCATGCTGCTCTGGGCAGGCAAGGAGCTAACAGAGGGGTCATACTGGGTAGGGGGTGGAGGGTTTCTTTCCTTCCCCAGCCAGGGAGGTTCAGTCCTGCAGTCTCCAGGCAGGACTGTGTGTCCCACTCCACATTATGGGGGTATCCCAGTGCTGGGGAGCAGAAAGCTGCAGCCTACACTGCAGTGTTCCCAGCTAAGAAGGAAAAAGTGTTGGAAACCATAAGCAAGTAAGACAGAATAAATGCTTCAGCTTAGTCCTCAGGTAATTTGTCAAAAGATACAAGGATTACAGGTGTTTTAATCAAATTTCTTACACAAATGTAGTTTAGTGAATATACTTACATTTCCCTGATCTCCATCAAATACCTTAGCCACTATCTTGCTACGTAAAAAGTGGAAGGTGGAAGTGGGAGGATGACAATATTTTCCAGGAAAAGTGGCTGCATGTGTTACTCATGCCTAACAGATGGGGCTCCTGCGAGGGACAAGGCAGAAAGGAGAGAAGCATGTCTGCTGCTCTGCTTGGCGCTCCCATCTGGGCCTGAAGGGGAGATGTGGGGTGAGGTGCTGCAGGAAAACAGGGTTTTCCTCTTCCTGCCTGCTGAGGCTCAGTTAAGGCAGAATTCAGATGGTTTATAATGCACACACACGTCCAAGTGGTATTGACAGATACAATGCCATGTTTGGGAACTTCAGCATAACCAACATCTATTTATAATGAACTAACATCTCCTGAAATGCAATCCTATAATTATGTGAAAATATAAAACAGATAGTGTCATTTAAAAATGCTAAATAGCACATAAAAATATCTACATCCTTCCCTATTTCTCTGGGCTAGCAAAACAATAGCATTCATGGAATGATGCTTCTTATGCCAAGTTTAAACTGGAAGTAAATTTTAATGGTCTATGACTGGAAAAGATTGAAATCAGCAGATTGCAACTGAAATAAGTGGTTGAGCACTGCACAGGGGAGAGCTGCACTGAGATAGAGATGACTGTGCCAGGCAAAAGTGGAGCAGCTCCAGAAGGTGCCATGCAGTACCATAGCACGGCTCCCATCATTAGGCTTCCCTACACTCTGTTAAGGAGTAATTGGGATAGTAAAACTGGGCAAAGAAGGAGTCTAAAATTTATATTGCCCAGGGGACCAAGCAAGTCTCTCTGCCTAGTTCAGAAGGGATATCATCACATCAGGTTGGCACTAATTTGGGTATTTTTGTACCGTGCCTCACTACTCAGTGCAGTGCTACAGACTTTTACAGCTCTGGTACATACATAGGTCCCTAAATCTGCGTTTGCGAAGCCTAGCCATGATGACATACATAGGCACTAAGTAAGTGTTCCCTAGGTCTGTTGTTTTTTTACAGAACAAGCATAAATAAAAATGTTCAACCTTTCTCACAGATAGAATATGGAACTACTCTATCACTGGCTATTCAACCCCTCCTGCTGATGGTATGCCACTTGCAAAACATTTGCGTATTCACTGAGTGGGAGAGATACTGACTCTGCAGCCTGATGCTTAGAGTGGGAGGCAAAACACATGGATTCCAGTTCCTTCTCCAGGGAAAGTTTAATTATTATGCAAAGTGCATACGACTCAGTAGGACCAACCAACAACCATCCTAAAGGTGATCATAGCCCTGTCACGGGGATGGAAATTATGAGTTCATACCAGAGAACAGGAGTGAACCCAGACTTCTTTGCATTCTGGTTAAACAACTCAGGCCCATAGTCTTGGATAAAATGAGGACACAGACACCAACTTTTAATCAGTTGGTGAGCCCAGGAGAAAGAAAAAAACCTGTATCCATTCAGCCTACAGTGTGAATAGTTTTAAGACATGCAGATTGTACTCTGCTTTTAAGCAAACAGCTAACTGGCTAAAAATATTGGTTTTTATACAGATATCTGTAACCTTAAAAATTATTCTAATACATTGTTACATTCCTTTGTCTCTAGCATGTTTTTTTTCAATATAATTACCAATCACACATATTTCTGCGAAGTATTATGATAAAATATAGGAACATGTTGCTGGCAGTTAGCTCTAATTTACAGAAATTAAGATTTTTTCCACCCATATATCATGGGAACATAGAATCAGCCAGGTTGGAAAGGACCTCTGAGATCATCAAGTCTAACCCTCGATCCATTGAAAACACTCAGGAAATTTCATTAAAATACTTTGTCAATAGTGCATCAAAAACTTATTTGCAAGTTATAATATTGGAAAGTTCGGACCAAACTTCTAATCCAGAACTACCTAAAGAATTCATTAAGGAAACTCTGACCTTATATGTTAAGAAAATCTTGGCTGGCCTGGTAGGATAAAAGAGGATTTTGGGACATGTGAGAGTGATAAATTATAACCGGTTCAGGAACTTCATGCTACTCTTTCCCCATTTGTGTGCAAAAAGAAGTGTAGCTACATCCTCATGAAAACCCCAAACCTCTTAGCTGCTATATTAATTACAGCATTCTGGTTTAAGGCGGGTTTAGGTTTAACAGATTAAAATATCTGAAGATTTAATGCCTGGAAGTGAGAGTTATGGACATTTGTCCCAGCTACTTTGAAGATAAAATTAAAAAAGGAACAATCAGGATTTTCCACAACACACTGAACACCTTTTCTGTTTTCTTTAACTATATTAGATCCTTGAGACTTTGAAAAGGGAACACACTCTTGGTTAAATCCCAGTTTTGCATTCCTGTTTCCTGGCCTCTGGAAGTAAGGAGAGATTTTTATGAGGCCTAGCTAGCACTCTTTTAAGTTTATCTTTGATTTATAGTTGGGGAAGCATTTACTTCAAACAATTGTCATTAAATTACCAAACATGGAGAATACATAATAACATTTCATATATGGATATATAGTGTGTATTCATACATATTAGAAACAAAACAAATAAATTGTTACCATACTTTCAAGCATTCAACTGGCTTTTTACACAAATATCAAGAAAATAAAAATATGAGGCTGAAATTTGCACAGGTAACCCACTACTATTTCTTCAAGTATTTATATTTCATTTTCAGAAGACAAAACTTTGGGATATCAACCTAATGATGTGAATGGGAGCTCTATGCATTTTCTATAGACAACTTTCCAAAGGTTGGTACTCAATTGCACATGCAAACTGTATGTAATTGCACATGTAATGCCTGACAGGTTATTGCATGTGCACAGAGAAAGCAAATAAAGAGATTCCCAGGCATGTGACCGCAATTGATTTAACACATACACGATGACATTTTACATCAACATTCATACATCTGTGTCAGAATATGCAGATTAGGTGCACATACCTTAGAAATATACAGTGGAATACCTAATCTTTAGCGTTTACTTGTCAATGTCAACTCTATTTTTAGAATTACTTGAATATAAATAAGGAAAACCAGTAAGGTTTTTTAAAAGAAAGACTTAGCAACACAGTACAGGATCAGCTTTTGTCTATCCGTGAGCCAGATGCGAGAAACACACGGTGGTTCTGTGAGGTACAATAAAGCACTGAACACAAAACAGCAGGAAAAGTAATTTGCAAGCTTGTATACATACCTAAAACATCTGGAAAAGGAGAGCATTAATGAAGCAAAGAATGGAAAAAGCCAAGACAATCAGGTTTTGTACGAAGCATACAGCATGAGGTAAGGTTATAACAAGTGTAACATACACAGAAAAAGGTTTGGGCTCTTTTGACGAAGAAATGCAGCAAAAGCACAAAGCTGGTTCAGCAGTTTCTGCAAATGGCATGTATCCATATAAAAATTTAACTAAGCCAACTGGGACTGATTTTCAGGTGAATGAGATTTAACCATGTACTGTACCTTGTTGGAGAAAAAAAATTCTGTTCAAAATGACAGATTTCTTCCAAGCTTTTAAAGAAATTAATCATTTGCCCTTTCCTTAAATTTAGTTCTAGCATCTCACATGTTAAACATGTATTGACAAGCAAACATTTCTCTTTATATACAAAACAATCTTTCACATAGGAGAGGAATAAGACTATACTGTCCTCCTAAATCTTTACAAGTCAAACACTATTTTTTAAAAATTCTTGAGAACATTAATTTTGTACTAGATATGCAGTGGTAGCATTGGTTTCCAATTATTCAAATCCCAAGTCTATTTTTAACTGATTCCATTACAAAAGCAAACTGTCAGTCGATAGGTGTATGTAGCATTAAGCTGATTGAGACTACCCTATAATCCTGTATATCCAGTTCCTTGTGGCTATTCCTACTCCTGGTTATTACATTGTTTTGTCTCTGCCGCTTTGAAATTAATTCTGGGTTATCTATTAAATCAGTTCCAAATAATGGTGGTCACTTCACTGTTTTCTGTGCTATCCACAGTTATGAACAATATACACAATATCACAGATCTACACTGGGTGATAAGGTAAGAGTTCTCAAAAAAAACGTTTATTTATTTCTCAGAAAAAAAGTATTTGGTATTAATATATCAAGCACATTACCTCTGTAACGTATTAAGTAATTGACAGAACACTTATTAAAATAATACTTAAAACCCAACAATATATTTTCAAAAGTCTAAGAAATAGCCTTCTCTGCTGCAGTTAAACTGCTGGTCACAAATGTGAGCATAACTGAGGGACAAATCAGTGGCCTGGCTGTCTAGCTGCGTGAAGTACCACTTCACAAAGGTGGGTGAGTAAAGGAATAGTTTCCCATTGAATCTTGAAGGAGGGAGGGATCTGGATTAACATAAAGCAGTTCTGGGGAGCTGTATTTGCTGTAATAAACAGCCACTGAAAAGAAGCCATTGAGTAATTTAATTTCTCTTCATTGTCAAATATGTGTTTCAGATCTCATTTAGAACACATGGTCCTAATCTTTCTCTGAAAAGAGAATGAATAAACTATTTATGGGCTACTTTATGGGACTTACTGTGGTGGTACTTCATTGATGCAATAAAACAATTTTTCACTTTGAAACATCCTGGTTAGGTGAGAAGCTGGAATTATTCATATTTTCCAGATAGAAAATTGAATTACGAAGAATAATCAGAGGTTATGAATAATTTGTGGGGATTCCATTTCAGAAATGTAGTGTCTGATTCTTCAGAGTAATTACCACAGTAAAAATTACATTAAGACTAGAAATATAGGAGCCATCCAACAGGAAATCCTGATTTCTGGGGATTCTTTCTTCCAAAATGGAACATAACCTTGAAGCTTCTTTTAGAAGTCAGTACTAAGACTCAGGACATTCCTGATGCTGCTTGGTACTGTCAGTACAGGATATCAGTACTGATCTGAGAGAAGGGAAGAATTCTTTGAGCTAGGCTTGGAATGACAAGAATACCTCTGAAGTTAAATGTCAGCAAAGAGAAGAGCCTAAAATAAGAGGATTTCTGGGGAATGAGAAGTCACAAGGCTGGTATTTCCCAAGGTATCCAACAGGAGCTCTAGTAGTCCATAGGACTACCTGGTTTCCATCTGCCTTTTCCAACTCAATGTATTACCATGTAACATGCTGATTTTAATGGCATACCCTATTGTTGATAGGTTCAATGCTTGAATCTCTGTTTCAGCTACAATACTTAGTACTTCTAAAAAACATGCTTGAAGCATGCAGAAAACATGAGGGAAAAATAGCCATCTTTATAAAGTCTGTAAATATCTAGTCCAATACTATACAGCATTTCTGTATCAGAAGCAGCAAAAGCCACTACTGCACAGGGCTCTTCAGTTAATTCAGTAAAAAGGGAGTCTCCTTTTGCACCCTTCAGCACTACACCTCATCTCTGACTTGGTAAGCCACAACAGCCAGTGATAGGATGGGAGTCAACATGGAGGGACCCAGCAGCAAGGGAAGGAGGGGGATGTTCCTTCCCTCTGTGCCTCCATCCTCTGCTGGCACTCACCCTGGCTTGAGGCACCGGCAGTCACCCTGGTACACGGCACACTCCACACTGCCTTGGTGAGCTTTAAAGGCTGTCATCTCTGGCACTAAGGCTTCAGTGGTGTCAAGGGGCTACTCGTTGGCCCTGGGTGAGTGTGCCCGCTGCTGGGATTCAGAAGAGAGGCCCATGGCACACTGTGCTGCAGTGCTGTAGCTTGCAGGCCATTAGATACAGCAGATCCCCCTCCCACTAGGGTCATCCCATTTTTCAACAGAGAATTAACACCTGTTGAACCACAGAGATAAACCAGTGCTCAGTAGCTTAAGACTGAAATTCAAATCCCCTTCCAAAAGAGGAACATATACTGAAAATGTCCTGTTGTGTTTTTAGAGAGTTTCATTTGCCTTCCTGATGTTTCTTGCCCCATACACTGTCAAAGTTAATATGGGGAAATAAGGGAAATAGCAATATACTGAACAATTCCAATTCCCCACATTAGTTTGCATATTTTTTTTCAAGGAAACTAAGGTAGAGGATTGGTGGAAAAGTAGTGTGCAAACACTTAAACAAAGACTGAATCACAGCATACATAAACCTAAAGCTACTAAGAAGCTACACAGTTAGCCTTCTTTCTAACACTTCCTAACCTTTATTTTTCACAACTTGAATTTTTAAATCATTAAAAGAATAATATTCTTTTAATAGGATTTAATGGGATTTTTTGTTGGCTTACAGCAAATTCGTCACACAAACTGAAGAAAAAAAATCCACTATATGGTGTGAAATTGCCACTCACCTCTTCTACTTCAGCCAACTAAATGCTCAAAGAAGAGGTATATTGTTGTCTTCCCTGTGAACCACTGCTAGGAGAGGCCACCTACCATCAGATTACAAAGACATTTCTGAGTCTGCCTCTTATTTCTACTTTGAGGTACATTGTAGGTAAGCAAGGAAACAGGCTGTTACACTTTTTATACTTTTTTAATTTTACCTTGTGCAATGGTTTTCCCACTGTCTTACAAAAGCAGTTACCTTTTCTGACTCCAGCTTATTTTATTTTATCTCAGTTTTCCTCCCAATACACTGCTGCCACATCATTTCTCTGCCTGACTTCCTTCCTGGCTGGTTTTTGTCCTTCCGTGGTTTACAGCATGCCTTGAACAACTATCCCAACTCCTTCTCTGTAACTCCAACCTTTTCCATAATGGATTTTCACTATTTGCCTTCCTCCTCGAGCCTGGTCAGCCACCTCTTCCTCCAGGTAAACGTCTTCAAAGAAAATGTCTTTTTATTCCATATTCCATGCTGCACAGAAGAGTAGGGATTGCAACTTGAAAGATGAGCATCTTTCCACTTTAGTTCTGCTTGGCTGACCTGATTCAATCTGCTGGAAGCAGGTTCTGCTCAGCATCATTGCTGGACTTTGCCCAAGAAAGGCTGAGTCTTTAGGCAATTCAGATGCAAAGCTTGGCATGTGTTAATGGCAGCTTCTAACAATTTGGTAAAGTTTTCTTGTTATTTTCATAAAAAATGCCCACAAATATGTAACTGAAATTTCATTCAATTCACTAGTAAATTTCAAAACCCTGCTAGTTTACTAGCAGAAATATTACAGCTTCTGAAAAAAAAAGGTTTTGAGAATATTTTAGCGTAGGTAAAATTAATTTTTGCCCTAACTTCATGGTTAAAATGACTCAGTTGCTCTATCTAATATTTCCCAAGATATATCAGAATTACTTTGTAAATCAGTTAATTTTTAGAACAATTATAAGCAACTGAAGACCTGATATGTAGCAGGTAATCTTAATTACTAATAACAGGCCTGTTACAAAAACTAGAGAGACATCTATCTATGCACATATTTACATATATACATAATCCCTGTTGTCTTTGAGTCTCTCCAACTGAGGTTATGTTAGAACTTCCATTTTAAATATCTCTAACTAAAAAAGTACCTTGACACAAATAAAAGATGTTGATGCTCTCAAGGGTAAGGTTCTACATGAGATGAAGGTGTACAAGATTGGGTAGCATTTAATTTTTATAGATTTTTTTCCTGTATACATTTTTGTGATAGCTGTTTTACATATGTGAGAATATTTTAGCATGAGGAACAGATTATATGCTTTTTGCTGCTGCATATATTTGTGCAGTATTGCAAAATCGCATACACTTTGATGATCAGGTTGGGAACTCAATCATCATGATTCGGTTCATTCCATGACTGGGTGACCTCCATCCTTATTACTGATTTTCAGTTCTATTCAAAACAAGTGACACTTTATATTTTTAATAGATTATTAAACAGACTTTGGTTACAAGACTGAAATTCACATAAAAGAAAATTTTTGTGTGTAAAGATATTAATTATGTTGTTACAGTACATTGCATTTTACTATTTGAAAACACTTAAGACACTCTTGGAAGCTATCAGACTACTTGTAAGCAAAAATTCAGACTCCACATAGCTGAAAGCAAAGGTTTTAAGAAGTAAATTTTCAAGAAAGGGAGGTCAAACTTTTTAAGGCAGAGAAGCTTTTTCTAAAAAGGACAACTATATTAGGCAAGTGTTAAATATTCAGTCATGGTACAGGTGGAGTCAGAAATTTTTTTGTAATAAAACTGATAAAGAATCCACTCAATAGGATGAACAAAATTAATTTCCTGTTCCACAAAATTTACAAGTTTTCAAGATACAATGCTGTGTTTGGGGGAAACCAAGCTCTCTTGAAGGGTACTAAGAGGAACCTGCAGCAATGTAAAGGTAGAAAGATGACTGGAGCATTCACCTGTGATCTAGCAAGTTCCTCCTTTTTTTTGTATTTGACTGGGGACTTGAACAGGATTTTTTAGGGGACTTGTGTCCCATATCTCAGCTGGGTGCCCTAACACAAGTATATGGACTCCTAGCAGAATTCATCTTAGAATCTTATATTCATAGAACAGTTTAGGTTGGAATGAACCTTAAAGATAGATCATCTAGCTCTAATCTCACTGCATGGGCAGAGAACCTTCCACTATACCTTCTAGCTAGCTCCAGGTGTCTCTACACAGGAAATGCACTAGTGGTAGCAGCAGAGTCCTGGATACACTATAGGAAAGGCTAAGATCAGTCAGGAATTAAAACTCTGAAGTGTCCACCTTTTCCTCTTTGCTCTAAGGACACCTTATGATGACACGCTCCAGTGGAGATACCTGTATTGCAGATGGTAACATTTAGTTACAACTTCCCAGCTAAGCTTGTTTTTCTTTCTGGCTAATAAATGCTTAATTATTTATACAACTGGACAAGCTTCACTACAAAATGACTCATGTAAGATGACAGATGTGTATGCTATGAACCTAGCTATACAGTTTCTAAAAAGCATTTTAAAAATATTTTAAAAACACTTTTGCATCCTTCTTTTTTTGTACCAACTTCAGGATTAGTTTAAACTGATACGAAATTCATAAAATGTGTACCTCAATAACTTTTTTCAGGCCTCATATCAGTAGCTGTCATTACTAATAATCTTATCAAAGATAATGCACAATATCAATAACATCCATATAATTCCAGGTATTTGAAAACTGTTACTTTTATTCAGCTGGAAGAACATGTCTTCAGATTTTATATGGATGATTACTTCTCCCCATCAAGGCAAACAGCAAAACATTGAAACTGAGCATAAGCAGGATAAACCAAAATCAGGACTTTATGAAGTTTACATGGTAGTGATTTTAAAATGATTTCCAGTGCCAGGATTTCTGGATTATGGGAATTGTGATTTTCTCACAGCAGAGAGAAGGCTATTTTTAGCTTACACATATGAATTGAGAGTCATATACTTTACAGGCAATTTGCAGATAGCATCATTATAAGTACTTACCTAAGCTTGATCTCGTGTTGGATCGCTCTATTATCGCGTGTTTACTGGGATTGTTTAACACTGAGCGTTTGGCAAGCGAGATGTCTGCTGTGACTCGTGTAATTGATATACTGCAACAATAAAGACAGTAAAATAGTACAGAATGTTACTTATCTTTCGGGGATATGGGAAGAATTCTCATTTAACACTAGAAGATGGCTAAGACCATAGGAAAATTACTTTTTCTCAGAAGCACAGTATGCTTCCCATAATGGGAACAGAGAAAAAACTTTAACTAATACTGCTACAAGAACTATTGATAAGACATCATCCTTCTGTACAGTCCTGAAATGCATTATGACCACTGCCTGCAAAGGTACACGTGCCTGGGGAGAGGGGAAGCAGGAGAAGGTCAGAGATGTGCTGCAGAAGATGGGACTTCCCTGGGGTCTCTGGGTGCGATGAGTCCGTGCAAAGTCTGACTTTGCACAACTATGGTTTCTCCTTTCCCCAATTTCTTGAATGGTACCGAATGACAACCTGGCTTATTTTAGCCATACGTATAAGACATATAGGGATGTGCAGAATTAAAAGGTAAAGGTAAGGCTTAGCAGGGAAACTAATACATCAATATAATCTATTTATTTATTTATTTATTTAAATTTTATTGTTCAGTTTACTAGCATGTGGTTTTTAACAGAGTGTAAGAGTTACCTATGATTTTCCAGAAAGATCCAGCAATATGCTGGCCACCTAAAAATGGGAACTGTAACACAGAGAAACATGTACTTGAAAACTGGCAGGCTCAGTTTCGTGTTTATGAGGAAAGATGGGCCAAGAAAGAAGTGGTTACTTTCAGTTTGCTACATAACCTTCTGCATATTCTTCATCCTAGGAAAACAATTACTTTGGTTTGTTTTGCTTTACAAGGTAAAAGTAAACCCTTAAGTTCCCTTTCAAACTCTGGTCTAATGAGGTTCAGAGGTCACGTTTTTCCAGTGCTGAAAGTTAAATCAGACTGATGATATTCCCTTGTTCTTCCTTGTAGGATTTTACTTGCAATTGAAAAGGAGGAAATGGATTTGCTAAGAACTAAAATGGATTTGCTAAGATCTAAAACCCTAAAAAATGTAACCAAGTGAGAAGTTAACATGGAAAAGCAGAATTATTTGGACAATACAGATTAGTACTGTAATTTTGGAAATTTAGACATGATTTAACTTAAGCTAAAAAGATTGTGATTTCTGGTACAGCTCCTCACAGATAATGGTATTTGTCTTAAAATTAAATCAAACTCATATTGGGGTAGTCATCAGTTATCTTTATTTGTTAATGGATATACACTAGAAACTTCTACAACTTTTTGGGGTTTTGGTTTGATTTGGATTTTTTTCCTGCCAGTCTTCCTTCCTACATGTAATAGAAATTTTTTTTCTTTTTAAAATGCAATTATGGTATATTGAACCAAGACAGATTTTTCAGTTTATTTTTCTATCTATGAAAAATGCTATTTTTCATTTTAATGTCTTTCTAAGGTCATTTTAATGTCTTTTGAGACATGTCTCACCAGAATGACCAAGTCCGCTCTCAAAACAAAGGATATGTATGTTCATATTGTGAAACAATTGCAATGAGAGCAGGGGCAGCAGTGTGGCAGCTGAAAGCAGTAGTATGAATCTAAGAACCTCCTGTACAAATTTGTTCAGGACCTTGATTACCAATTCAGATTGCTAATAAAGTTTGGGATTATTCAAATCTGCTGTTGTATTCAGAGTATTTGTGAATTCACCCTGCCTCAATTAGATCTACAACTGAAAATCAGAAATTCTCTAAAACACCTAAAGACATAAAAACATAATTTTTTTTTTTGCTTGCAACAACCACTGTTTTGTTAACTTCCAGTCCTGAAGGTATGAGTTTAAGGTTTGACAACCCTGAATAATATAAAGAGGGATTTATAAGTGGTTAGGTATCAAAATCGTTATTCTGACTGAGAAAATCCAACGTCTTAAACAACAATGATCTGCATTTTAAAGAGCTGAAACTATTAACAAAAAACCTCAAGCTCCCTCTTCAAAGTTTGGACTGGACAGACAGAATAGTGTTACTGATCTGTCCACTTCCAATCTAAATAGAAAGTTACAGATATTATAACATTTTCCTGTTCTTTCAATTTTCCTAACCCATTAGCACATATTAGTCTGTAGTTTGATCCAGTCATAAAAAACATGTGGAGAATGCACCTGATGTCTCTGGTCCATGTGTCTGTGATGTCTGAGCTACAGATCATGCTACTGCTTTTAGAGGCAGATTAGCATTTGACATCTGTACTACCATAATGTCTGAGGGCTCAAACACAAATCTGAGTGGACCTCGCCTAGTCTGCTGCCACAGCACTCAGATCAGAACACAGCGAATGCAGCTCGTATGATACCAAGGGTGACCATATTTCAGCAAAGTAGGGGACTGCCTTACCCCTGCACCCAGTCCAGTCCTTCTGAAACTTTCCACTACAGAGCCCAGAAGTACTGTCAAACCAAGATCATATCTTGAGGGATCAAATCTGGATTTGACAATCCCATATATTAGATAGTCAGAATCTCATAACACTCTTTCCAAGTTCGATGCCAAGTAAAGAATTAGAGCTGAGGAGGAATGGTGGCTCTTGTCATCTTGCTCAGAACCTGAGAAGCACTGATGAGGTATCACTTGAAAAATACCTAAAAAACTTTTTAATTTGTAGATACAATTTGCAGTGTGAATGTTGCAGTCATCAAGAAGGAGACATCCTTTTTTCCACTCAAATATACACCCCTGAAGACTTCCCACTGCCACTCAACCTCTGCATGTTCTGCCAAGGAAACTTTCAATACACACTAGAGTCCACTTATCACGGAATTATCCATCATTCTTGATTTTCTACAATGTCATAATTTCTTAGAATCCTGGTAGTACCTAAACAGAACCTGAAGTATATTTGCATTGCCAAGTACTTACCGCCCTTCGAATCTATGTTTTAAAAAATCAAATAATGCTTTTTGCATCATATCTGTTACCTAGAAGCAAACAAACAAAAAATTAATAATCATATAGGAAATTCATAATACTTGATGCTAATAATATTATATAATAAAGCTGACAGTAAATCATATCTGAACAACAGGATTGGAATGCAATTTCTTCTTCATCTCAATTCTGACATGAAGTAAAATGCAAACAAGCAACTATTTACTAGGAGTAAAAACTGTCTAGATATTTGTCTATGATATAAAATATCAAATAAAAATGAAGCACAGTATTTTGGCAAATAAAATATTTTCAACAATCAATTACCTCATATCCCTTCAGAGAAGGCCCCACTAAAACTACTGGTCGCATAGAAGGCACTACATCATAGGGAGGGATGTGCTCTGTCTGCAAAACAGATAAAGTTTTCAGTGTCACAGCACCTAGAGAAAGTTTATACACTGTTTATAACATTAGGAACTATGAATTTCCAGCGATGTCACCAACACAGGAATCTCTTTTAATTAACTTTTCCCAAAAACTTGTAGCACAAGATAAGGACATAGGAGGTTCAGGGATTTGTTTTGAAAAAGGTTTTTTTGGACTTTAGGTTTTCCCACTGTTTTCACATTTGCTCTGGATAGTTATAAAACTCTTATTCTGGGACATGCATATTTTGCATAATTCCTAACTGGTAAATTGAAAAGGTTATTTCCAACAGTTAATGATTTGAAATGATTGACTCTAGAGATGTGACATCTGTTTCCCACAAAAATTTTATGTAGGAAAATGATGAAAGAGAAAAATAAAACAAAACGGGATGGAAAAAGCATAACACATCTCTTTTTTTAATGTTCAGATCTGCCCACTGCTTGACAAAACATTGTGACATCACTGCAAATTCCCATGGCAGCACTCATAATCTGACATCCACATTTGCATCCATGATTCAATTGCAAAATGAAACCAAAATAATGATTAAGTTAGTACTTCTAGAAAATTATCATAAACAGAGCTTGGGATAGCAATTTTTCCACTTCGGGAAGTTCCTGCCACTACCCAAGAATGGATTCTGTTAGTACAATATTTATCAAAGTACTTACTGATGTATGATGCACAATTTCTAAAAAGTATTTTAAAATATAAAGATAAAAAGATTACTTCCTTCCAAAGATTGCAAAGGTTTTATATTGTTATCACAATGCAATAGAAACAAATTAAACTGTTGGTTTGGAGTGTTTTTCTTTGTTAATAAATGGCTATTTCAACATATATCAATCACCAAGAATGGGTCTTATCAGAAAAAGTTTTTTGTTCATATGGGAAGTTTTGGTTTAGCTTCGGGAAAACATGATTGAAATCCAAATCCAGAAACATTTGAGTGATATGGAAAAAGGAATGCTGGATCTATTTTTCTAATGTTTACATAGTACAAATACATCAGTCAAGATAACAGAATACAGACACTGTTCATTGTTCTAGTATTCAATGTATCCCAAGGTGTTTCACAATAACATTAAAATAAGTATATACATTCCAAAACACAAACCCACAAAGACAGACATTAGTACAGTGACAGCACACGGTGCTACACAAGCAGCAGTCTAAAGCAGTCTAAAACATGGAAAACATTTTTGTGAATGTTCTTTAACATAATTTATTTTGGTTTTTGTTACCTGTAGTTTCACCAAATAATTAGTAACATAAGAATGAATACCAGTGCCCAAGGCATCATAAGCATGTGAAATGAATTTATTTTACACAGCACAGAAACTGACTCAACACATTTCAAAGCAAAACCCTGCAATTAAGGTGTGCCAGTATCAAAATGCAATCCTCCACTGTTCTTGCTAACATTATTAATAATCTGGTAAGTGTATTAGAGACAGATTCAATGAAAAATTCTTTACAGATACAAGTGCTTATAGAACGAGTGTCCTGATGCAACAGATCTTTGTCTTAATGTGACTAATGCAACTGAAGGCATACATGCTAGAAGTTAACCAGCTATTTGACAGTTAGGGCAGGCATAGAAATTACCTTATTTGATGGAATATGAATTATTCTTAAAATCTATTCTGTCAAAATGGGCAAATTTTTTCTCTAATCTTTAAAGCTTGAAATAACGAAGCTCTCAGCAGAAAATTGAGTAAGAGTTATCTAATGGAAGCATTAAAGTTCTTTAATTTAGCATTAGAGAATCTAATGTCAGTGAGCTATACAGTTTTCACTGCAGATTTAAGTTCAAATATGAACTCATAATGAAAACCAGCAGTTTTGACAATATGGCTTTTGCTTAGTGGTTTGACTATGTAGATTAATTTGAAATGCCCATCCAGTACTTAACGTAAGTGTCAGTATCACAAACCTCGCTATATCCAGTAATGATTCTGATATGGAAGAAAAGAGGTACCACAGAGTAGAAGAAAGAGATGTGACTAACCACCATCCAGGTCTAAGGTGGTTCATCTAGAAGATGTACCTTTGAAAGATGCTCATGCAGACAGCATCCAATACATCTCAACATGTATTATTCTTCCTTATCATTTTTATGTGGTTATAAATATGATTAAGTAAGAAATTACTCAGAAGCGAGAAACTGTTGTTGATTTCCACACCGGGCATAACAGACCCTACTGAAGCCAGTGGTCATGACTTAGGAAATGAGAAGGATTCAATATTATTTAAAAGAGTTCGAGAAAAAAAGAGAGATGGAAACAAAGTTCTATTTACTAAACAGGAAAGCATCCACAGCAGGGACAACAATGTCACTTGGCACTATTTATAAGCACTATAACAGTCTGTTATTACCTGTAGATTTAAGTGAATGGTTAAAAACAAGTCTATAAGAGCTATGAAGTCTAAAGGTTCTAAAACAAAAAAAGCAGAAATATGGTATTTCACTGCATAGTTTGGCTGCTACCTAATGTCTTGCCAACCTATTCCAGCAAAGATCCTAGAAACATATTGGAGCTTGTTGTAACACAATGCCAATTGCATAAGTCTTTAGTTACCTGGGTTATCTATGGAGAGACACTGGCTCTTATGGAAACAACCAGTGCCATTTCCAATAGTTGAGATACTCAAAAGGTCTGACTGATGGGTGACAAGAACATTTGGCCGATAATTTATACATGACTATAGGAAAAACTCAAAGTAAACTGTCAAAACAAGTCTGAGGTTTTCCACTGGTTTTGTGCACCTGCAGATTTTGCACTTAGTGAACTGGAAGCTTAAATATGGACTAAACTAAAAATACAACAATTTTGATTATTCATTTTCTAAGTACAAACTGAGTATCTGATAGACTCCAATAATGATTTCAATAGACTGAGAAATAAAAAAAAATATAATTCAGAAAGATATAGAAAGAATAAACAGGCACTAGAGAGGTGAATTATATGGATTTTCTAGAAATAATTTTCTCGAACTTTCAGAAGGCCTTTCAAATGTGTTCTATTATTCCATCAAAAAGGATAAGTACTGTAGCAGAGTTTCACAGATACACTGAACTCTTGCCTGTTTTCTTGTACTGAATCCACTAACAGCTCAATACATCTCTTCCTCCTTAGTTCTAGAATAGCTGCATTGTTAATCTGGAGTAACAATGCTAATGATGCCAGTGGCAGGATAAACACAGGCAATGTCAATATAAACTTACCGATTTCTGCTTCTGCTTAGCTACAGCAGCATGGAAAAGAAACAAAGAACAACAAAGCATGCATGTTATTGGCTTGTCAAAGGACGCAGACAGTTAACAGGACTAGAAATGTGACGCAGTGCAGGTGAGCAGGTGGACAGATGGGAGCTTGGAAGTCGGTGTTACCTTCTTAAAGAAGGGCATTCTTTTCTCTTTGGAGTGGGGTGATGTTACACTGTTTGCACTGGGTTTGGGGGAGCGATGGTTTGCTGGAATATCATTTTCTTCTGCATCTAAGCCAGTGGCATCTATGTCTATAGCTACATACAGACAAACAATTCAGATATATCAGATGACAGGGAAAGTAAAGATAGGTTAAAAAAGGAAATTACGGGTAAAGAGAAATAAAACTGTCCAGAGTAATAAATAAATAAAAACTAAAAATCAACCATGAGAACAAAACACAATAAAACAAAGGGAATAATTTAAAGGTGCAGGACATTAGGATTAGAAGACAGAAGGTGATCTGTAACAGCTATTGTAACATTTACAAAATAGACCAATGGCCAAGTTTGTTTTTCTTACACCAGTGTAAATCCAAAGGAATTCACTGGAATAGATAAGACTTTCACCAATGTAAACAACAGAACTTGGTCAAAACATTTGGATTGTTTTATAGCAATGAACACTAGTTCAAAATGGGCATCATCAACTGAAATTTGAAATGTCACTAGTATGTCTATAGGAAATGAAGAAACAGCAGAAAAATCACTTTTGAAGACAAAATCATTCTGATATTGGTACAATAATATCTACATTTATCACAGGGTGGACTACAATTGGCATTCTCAACCCCTTTAACTAAAAATGCATTGTATTCATAAGACACATTTATTAGGAATAATTAAATTTGATCTACTAATAGTGAAAACTAAAATTAATGGGTAGCAGAAGAGCAGAAATTTATCCCAGCTTGACTCAGAGACATGGATCCTGTTGTAAAGAGTGAGGATGTAGACAGGGCAAAATGGAAGCAAATACAATAAACCACTGCTGTTCAATCTCTACCCCAAAAGAATATATGGCAAACAATACTTATAATGTAACTATGAATAGTTTATCCTCTTTAGCAAGTAAATAGTAACAGTTTCAACAAAAATCATCACAGACTCAGTAATAAATATAATATCAAGACGCAAAGCCATGTTATCCTGAATGCTGAGTCCAACAGATACTTGCCAACTACATGTAAAACAAACCAAACCAAAACAAAAGGTTTCTTGTTTACTGTGATCAATTCTGATCTTAAGTAGGGATTTAAATTTGTCTTCAGAAAGCAGGTAGATGCACAAAAGTGAACCAGAACTGTGCTGTACAACATCACTCGTGTGTGAAGATTTTACCCACCTTTTAACGCACTCGGGTAACACAGGTTTATCTTGCCATGCCATTATGTCAAACTGAATCTAACACTAAATAGATCTGTAAGCAGAATCGTTTGCATTGACTTTATCCAAACCCTTAATTAATCATTGCAAACTATTATGAAACCATCTTAGTGACCTGCTTTCATCTGCTTGATGAGTGGGACATCAACTAATACAGTGGCATGTGGTATTAAATTATGTAACAAATAAATATTTCTGTCAAGCCTACATGCAGCTACTGATTTAAGAGACAACTGGAGCAGTGATTTCTTTTGTTTGCATAAGGTATATTTTCCCATTTGAATTATCCACATATCCCTGAGTCACTGTGCCTTTGAGCTCGCCCTTCCCAGGAAAGCCGGTGTGTAGATCCACATCCTGTTTCTATAATCCTGCTCCTAAAAACAGCCACAGAAGCCACGTAACATTTTCTTCTAGCAACACTGTTCCTTCATCCTCTTCATAAGTATAAAAAGAACATATTATCTTTTCTTGAATACAGGCCAGCACAGATGCTGCAAATCACTCATAATAAGGCATACTAAACCTCCTTCAGTATATTCAACTAAAATTGTCAGTAAAGAGAAATCAGAGTTGTTAAGCTTTTCCTGTAAAAAAGAAATGCAGAACTTGATCAGCTAGATATCAATATCTCTTTTTCTCATTCTCAATCTTCACACTATGTAACATCTTCTGTGACAGTTCTTTTGCTGTTAATTATCTTTATTCCACTGTGTTTTTTCAAAAGTCATTTTCACCATTATAATCACTCAGTTTGGTGGCCTACAATGGCTGTATGAATTGATTACTATATCAATATAATATTGATTATTTAAATCGATATGAGCCTCCCTTTCAATTTGTTTTTCACTAGGTCTTAGTCCTGTTTTTGGGTTTGATTTGATTTGTTTTTTTCTGTGGCACTATTTTATACTGAAAAAACCATCCCTGACTCAAGGTTAAAAAATGAAATTAACTTGTTCAGTTAATATTCTTCAACTCATTAAATAAATTATGTGTTTGTAACTGTACTTTCAAAAAGAGGAGGTTTCGGAACAACAATTGAATTGTACTTCAAAATCACTTGAGTTCTTGTGTTAGTTGCAAACTATGTCTCTTTCGCCTTTTTTTAGGGTGTCTTAAGATAAGCAAAAAAATATTGTAGACTCAAAATCTTATGATCGCAGAATCAGCTAATACACACTAATCTTCCAAATCTTCAATGTAACTGAATAAATTTTACCAGATTTCCTTCTTTCTCCAGAAAACCATGATTTTGAAAACTACCACCTGAAGAAACAGCTCAGTGCAATGAAAATTACAGGATGGCTAGCAGTCAGCTGGTGACACAGGTATGCTATCTGTTCTCTTACCTCTAAATTCTGGGCAACATTCTGGAAATATATGTACTGATCTTCAAGTGGGTTTTGGATAGAAAACAATATTACAGCATTTCAGATGTTCTAACTATAAAATTACAATACAGGTCCAAAATAGATAATTTTACTACAAAAATGCAATTGTTGAAAAAGTTGGCCTTAACAGTAAACATAACAATTTAAAGCCATCGTAAAACGGAAGATAAGGTGTGGTCTACCCATTTGTGATGGACACATATTAATAAACTAAAAAAATATTTTCAAAAAAAAGAAAACTTAAGTGAACCTGGAGTTTTGATAAACAAACTGCAATCATAATAAAGTTGGTTGTTACAAACAAATTCATGGTTTCACAAGAAAGACAGAAATATTTTTCAATTCATTTAATCAAATGAAACTACTAACATAACAATTGAATTCTTCTGTCTCTTTTAATGTCCATGTATATTCCCTAAAATCTTCAGCCTGATTTTAAGACACCTGCTCAGTAGGCCAGGCTATGTATAAATGAATATGATTGGAAAATACATCTTTGCCCCAGCAAATAAGTCACTAGTAACATTCATTAATATCTTCTGCTTTCAAGTATTCAAAATGTACATGCAAAGATAAAACATCCAGCAATGCAGCAGCTGAATTCAATAGAATTTTTTTTTTCTTTTGTAATCTGCTATGCTTTTTTCAAGGAGCTAATGCCAGCTTTCTCCACGAACTCGCCATGTATTTGCTTCATACGTCTTGAATCCAACCCACCTGAAGTTAAATCTATCTGTTGATGCTCTAAATGCAAAACCGTATTTGTGAAAAATTTGTTGAAGAAGGCAAAAATTATCCAGTATCCTAGAATTATGTGAAGAACATTCTCAGAATTGTGAAATTGAAAGTTCCTGATGTTTTAAAAGACTGTCTTTCTTGATGCTACTGCAGAAACCTTCCAAGAATTTTCATTTTTATTGCTGCTTTTTCTCCTGTACCAGAAGGTATTTATTGTTCAGCAGGAGTGCTTTAACTATCCTACTGTAATGTAGTCTCACTAATTTATTATGGCTTTGCTGTAAAACTCCATGGTAGAAGCAAAGAGGGAATATTGTGCCTGTCACTGCCTGAACTTGCTGGCATTGACTCCATTACTTCAAGTCTACCCAAACCAGCCTTACATGGTAGTGCAACATTAAGGTTCTACCTATGAAGTATAGGAAATAAGAAAAATAGAACTAAATCTATATCAATTTTAACAGATTAGGTTGATTGGTCTGTAAACCAAAGGGTTTACAACCTACTCACCAGATGATGGAGGCGTCGATTTTCTGGAACTAGGAACGATGTCACCCAAACTGGATGAAGAGTTTCCTCCTGATTTACTGGAGTAAAGTAATAAATTAGTTTGAAGTTCTGTAGCTTTCTCAGTATTTATTCTAGTTTATTTATTACCTGCCTTCTAAATGAGGTGTTAACTGTGAGACAAACAGCCGTTCTGGCAGTGGTATAAAATATACATCTCGCACAAAATGCACGTACTGAGGACTGAGGAAATGCAAACATCAATCATACTCCTTGTGCTGCTGTGCAATTTATTTTACTGCTCTCACTACTTCATGATCTTAATGTAATCCAGTTATTAATATGGCTACTGGTATATAATAATTAATATTATAATCCATTACTAAGACTAATTCTTAAGCCTGTAAACATATCTGTTTCCTTTGACTGAAGAGTTATTGATAAATCCCTAATGAAGATGTGACTGTGTTTGTCTACCTTTTTTCAATTTAATTGAAGTACAAATTCTTTTTGCTTTCTCAATACAAGATAGCACTTAGGAAAAAAAAGTCTCTCAAACAAAGTTAAAGCAGTCTAGGGTTTTGTCATGTTCTGCTTTGTGAAAACCTACTCAAGTTATGAAAATCGAACAATATTTTAGTCATTTATTTCAGTTACCATAACAAGAAAAGCCCTGAAAAGTATGTAAGGAAGCCTACTTCACTCTTCAAATAATTCATGTGATAGTACTAGTTTCCACTTTCTCTATTTTAAAATATTAATAAGCATTAAGTTAATGCCTTTGTGGTGTAGGACAATGTTATCTTCGGTGAGAAGTTCTAGGGAATTTGGAAAGGGACCAAATCGCTGGGACAGATCTGGGTGTATCAGAAGTGTCCCAAGAGGAATAAGGAACCCAGCATCCTTCTGCTGAGGACAGCGCGCGCATGGGAAAGGCATTTCACAGCTGGCGAATGCAGCTGAGTGCTGCGGAATCGTGGTGTCCTCCTAACACAGACATGCTCTTCAAACACCCCAGCCCTTCCTGTTGAGGACGGGCATTTTTGGAAAGTATTTTTGGCTTCCCAAATTGTTCCTAGTCCAAATCAAGGTCTGTCCCGCTCAGATACACTGGAAATATTTGTTTCCTATATACCTACAGGTTAACAATTGGTGTTTGCTTCTACATGTGTAACTGGAAAGCTACTTTATTAAGAATTCTACAGCAAAGATGGTATTATTACTATCTCGCAGTATTGTTCAATACATAGATACTGACTCTTTTTCTTATGCAATGATGGTTGCAGTCAGACATAACAAATGTAGTGGTTTTAAAAGCTGTATTTGTAGGCAATTAATTTGACAAGACCATTTTTTCCCCTAAGAACTAAGTAACGGGCACTGGTTTTGGTTTGCAAATAAATTCATCTTAATATTTTCTCAAATTTATAAAACGAGCTTTATAATTACTTATAAATAGCAAGATCATGAAAACAAGTAACAAATGCTACAGAATTTAGATAAATTACTTTTTAAGTCAAAAATTGTGCATGTACATTGTAAATGCACTAACTGAAAGGTATATTAGCAAATACTTTATGAAAAAAATGGACCAACTTCCATTGTAGGCCATCACAGATCAACAATTTAAATATCTACTTTTTCTCTAAAATAGTAACGACATTAAGTATCTTATTAAATAATAATTTAACATATATGTTATATATTCTATAACAACGTATAACTAATTATATATTATTTCCTTCATTATTTCAAAGTGTTTGTAACTACCATTTACGATAATTAATCATATATATGAACAATACACAGTACTAATTTCCAAGTTGTTTCACAGACAATGCTACTATTTTTAATGATTTCTTTTTATTACCTGGAGTAGAATTTTCCTTGTTTTGCCTTTTGTTCATGCTGCAGCCTCATGTTTTCTAGTTTGACTGGACTTGGTATGAATCCTATTTCACAGCCTTCTTTTACCAATCGTCCTATCCACCAGTCATTATTAAATTTCTACAGATTAGAAAAAAAAAAAAGAAAAAAGTAACATACTGAGAAATTACTAGATCTGGGATAATTTTGTTATTAGTTTTAATTTGCAGTTATGCCATTTTTTTTTAATTCTTACCTGCACTTAATCACTCTGCTATGCTATTATGGCAATGAAGAATTGTGGTAACATTCAGAAATACATTAAAATAGTTATTCCTTTTAAATTATTAAAATCCACAGTGCTTAAGCAGAAACCTTCCTTCATAGACTTTATGTTTCTTTCTGGCTTTTGTTTCCACCCATTTCACCATCTTTATTTTTTCTTGGTTCCCAGCATTTTTCCCTTATATAGGAAAGTTGCTTTTATTCTCTCTTCATGGTTCTCCTTGGAGAACATCAGAGACTTCTTCTGATCTACTCTGACCTACTGCTACAATTTTTATGACTCTGTAATAATCTATTGGTTTTATTCCATTATATTCAGTTCCTTATTCAAATTAAAAAATACTACTTCTCAAACTCCCCCACTCCTCCAAAGTCACCAAAATCTTCTGAAATATGACTAAATTCTGCTGCTCATATATGCTCTACTGCATATAGCTCACGTGATCTGCATAGTAAACTATGACAGATCCAGAAGGAATGGATATCTTTAGATAACTAAAAGGCCCTTACAATTATACAAATCCACAAGTAGTCCAATTAACTGAATTTCAGCTCTATGTAATATGAGATAATGACTACTCTAATTCAATACATTTATTCATACACACACAAGGGGGTTGGGGAGGAGGTTTTTTTTTTGCAGAGGTCTGAAGAGCAGAACTATTTCCTTTTTTCATTATTATTTATTCACCATTTTTGGATGAGAATAGGTCACCCTTTTATATGGCCCCACATGCAATACTCTCAGTGTTCCATGGGAATAACTACCACCAAATATGAATTTTAGATAATTTGGATTATTTATGAAACTGTAGAAGAACATCTGAATGTGAAAAAAAGTTGCCTTCTTGAATCTGAAGCTCTTAATGTAAATATTATAGTGCTTTTTAAATTATTTATTAAGTAGCTTTAACAAGTGTACAGTTAGGAATAAAACATGTAAAATGTGTGGGCTCCCACACAGAGGAATTAATTTCACCATGAATACATCATTGGTGGATCATTGATACACAACCTAAATTGCAGTATTATCTTTCATTTTGGCAACTATAGAAATCTTGCGATTGAAACCAACTGTAAGATATTTAGCTAACAAAAAAAATAAAGATTAAAATAAAAGCACTTTTAAGCACATAATATATAAGGAGATCTGTAATATTCATCCAATGGGATGCCTTTATGAGAAAGAATACCAGCATTTGATAGGGAGCTAATCTGGAATAGCAGTTTCTCAAAGATGTATTAGTCTGAAACATATTATTAAAATTATAACCTTTCATTGTAAAATGCTAACTAAATCATCAACTTGGTAAAAGGAGGAGACAGATAATTAAAAACCATCATTAAATTACAATTTGAACAGTCGCTATTATTTTATGCTGTCCTACAGTACAACAGATTACTACATAACAATGTTAATTTTATTTGAAGTTATAGAAATGTTAAATACATAGAAATTTTTTCTTCATATAAAAATAAGAGCATGTGGAATTCACTTCTGCAAAGTCTCAAAGCTAAATGCTGTGTCAGCATATGTAAAGAAATATAAGGTACTTTTATAAGTAGATAATACCATACATAATACTTCCTAATTTTAAAAAGCAACAATGGAAATCTTGGTAGTGAGGTGTCCAGCTCCCAAAGTGCTGGCCAGGGTGAGTGATTCTCTATAATTCACCTGTGCTTGGAGTGCCAAGGGAAACACAAAATATGAATTAAATGCAAAGCAAAATTATGACCATGAATTAAAGCCTCAAAATATTCAGAAGTGACCATGATGAAGCACACATTTCTTCATGCAGGAAGGAATCCTTCATCTTTATGTTCACTTAGTTTTAATGAATGTAACCTAATAATGAAAATAAATTTCCCTCATACATAATCACTGCAATACTTTTCACCATTGTCCGTGTACATTTTGAACTGAGTTTTTTCTTTCTTGAGCCCTCTCAGCAGCAGAAATTAGTGAACAGTCGTCAGGGACAAGAAGAGGACAGCATTGGTCCAGTATGGCATCATTACACAGGCAAAACTTACTGGACATTAACTTACGTTTCTTTATTTCTAGCAACAAGTTAGGTATAAAATATAAAACTTCATTTTATTGTCACATATGTTTTTTTTACTTTTAATCTGCATAAATCATTGAAGTTCGGACATTTCAGTTCTCCCAGCATTAACTACAGGGAGCACCAAAACTACTGAAGGAGCAATATCTGTTGGGATACAGAGCCCTGAAGAGCAAGTAGGACATGGCCATGGAAGATGGAGGGGGAGGACAGAACTATGCAGGAAAGGGGCTGTTGCCTGGAGCACCCTTCTGGGGAGGTTCAACCCATCCAGACACAACAGCTGTTGCCAAACATGGAACCAGAGAGTCCAAGTCTGACTCCTTGCAGATCCTTTCCTGCTTTTCCATTCCAGTGGTCCACTTGGACCTGGTCACACGGTCCCATCCCCAACCCATCTCTGGCTTAGCACTGCTAGGCAGCCAACTTTCCTTGACAGCTTAGAGAGAAAAACAGGTGGTTTTAAAGGCTATTCGCACAGAGTGCCTCTTCTACTACACCTGAGACTGCAACAACATTTTAATCTATTTTTCCATCTCTCAGTGCTACATGTGGCCACAGATATTACAACAACTCAGCTGAGCTAAGCTTCCTTTCAAGGTATTTTTGAAGATTCAGAAAAGTTCAGAGAAATTTTTCGTCCTGATGGTCTCCCAGATATCTGTACATCTGAGACTAAGTTGTGCTGTGAGGAAAAAAGCATAAACTTTAACAGAAAACTGCTAACACTGTGTTTCTAGTTCATATGGAAACAGGGAAAACACTTGATGTAAAGTCTGAGATTACCACTTCATCTGAAGTACAGATGGAATAGATGACTATAGAAAATCATTTGATCTAACCAAACTGAGCCATATTTTCCAGTGCTTCAAGACTCACCAGAGAATGATGATGATTTTCTTTTGCCAGAACTCTGCACCTCTACTTCTATTATAGGACAGAACAGAGCAATTCTTTCACACTACTATCAGACAGAAAACATATTTCCTTCACTATATACAATCTGAACCAAAAGTATCCCCTTTTTGCATGTTTACTATACATGGAAAATTTTGACCATTAGTCAGCAGTATGAAGGCACTAGAAGTCCATTTCTTGTGTTTCTGTAGTCTCTGTCCACCTGTATTTCTATCTCTATATTAGGAATGTTTCTTGCTTCTGCAAAGTACCTGCACTACCAGAATCACTGTGCATCATCTATCATAACTATTGAGGCATTTTTTGATAGTCTAAAATGGGGCAAAGCCATAATTTCACATGCGTGGTTAGGTTGTTATCAACCTTAAGTTAACTTTCTAGTTCTTTTGTTATAAATTTCCATTTCCAGATAGATCATTTTGAAACAAACCCTAATGGAATATGAATAGAAGCTGGGAACCTCAAACAATGAGGGAATCATTCAGAAGGCAGCAGCATGCTGCAGAGGAGGGCCTGCATGGCAAAGTTACCAAGTTATTTCTTTGGGATTGTCTTGCAAGGAGCAAAGAAATAAAATTACTCTTGGTGTTTGAAAATGTTAAAATTCAAATTTTTCGAAGCCAAACTACAGGAAAAGAAAGCCAATGCAGCAAACTCAAAACACCTTTTATGAAAGTTGCTATCATTTTGAAACATCATATCAGTTCTCCAGAATGTAACTGTTAACAAAATATTGTCTGTGCCAGGGAATTAACTTCAAAGAAAAAAAAAAAGAGACCTGAGCATTTTGGGGTTAATTGAGATGCAATCACACAAACAAAAGAGAAGCAACCCTGGGCTGCTGAATCACAATGAACCCTCATAGTACTAGGTTAGAAAAAAACCACAAATATTTTATCTTTGAATAGTCAGACACACACTTTTAAAGCTATAAATAAGGGACTTTTACTAGACAAGAAAAGTGCTTGCTTTCTGAGCTTCATTAATTTGATTTTAAGGAATTTGTGTCTTTGCTTGTAGGAGGATAGCATTTAAAAGAACATTCAATTCCTGATACACTGTTACCTTATTTAAATAACATTTGAAAAGTGCTTTAACAATGTGAAGTGTTATCAGCATTGTGAAATAGTAGCACTGTTACTCAAATATACCCTTAAAGAGAGATTCATTTGCTCCTCTGGGTTTACTTACTTCTTTAACATGAAGAAAATCTTTAGCCTCAAATGAGATGGCCATGCCTGGGACTGGAACATCGTCATCATGAGCTGCACTGTACCCAACATTTGTCCGAACTGCAAATGCAACAGGTTTTGACTGCAAAAGAAAAGATAAAGAGCCTGAAGACTTCCCTTGTAAACATATATTTATGTACAAACATATACACAAACATATACACAGAAGAATTCTGTAAGTTATCCTTTTAAAATCATAACAATTACAGAGAACTCTCATCGCATCCATGCAAAACATAAAGAAGAATCACGTTTACTGATACCAGTTATTTAATATCAACACATTTCATAGAATACAGAGTTTTAGAAAGTGATAGAGCTCTGAATTAATTTAAGTCAAGTCAGTAATTAGAAACTACAACCCAGTCGGTGATCCATATAATATGCTTTGAGTTCTGTGCTTGGGCCTGCCATAAGAGGTAGGGTTCCAAGAGCTACAAAGCCTACAGCCCCAGGGACACTGGGGCTGCAAAAGGCATGCCAAGGGAAGCACAGCATTGCACCATGTTGTTCCCATACCTTTCTTTTCTGGGCCCCCACGTGCTGGTCACCTCAGCCTCATTGCTAAGGCTGCCATTAGTGAAGCCCTCTCAGCCTCAGCCCTCAGGCAGTGTTCAGGGAAAATACAAATTTGGAGAAGAGGTGCCAGCAGCTGTTAGTGACCCCTATGCAAGTCATCTCACTGCAAGCCATTCTTAGAGCACAGCAATGTGCCCCAAGATTGTCATGTCATAACTAAATACCAACCACAGAGAGATTTGCTCATTTTCATAATTCTTTCTATAACTTTTACTGCTACATCAGTGAGTTTAGAGGATTTTTCCAAGTTTTGTTTTCAAGAAGCAGGTGCTGGAAGAGTCAGCACCCCCACTGGTCCCCAGCCCTGCCTTCCACCTTCTCCTTCCAAGCACCACTGGTGCTGAACACTTTTCTGCACAGGTATGGCAATAAAAGCTGCCATCCAAATCAGCTCAGACTGTAACTACTGAGGGCTTCCTCCTCTCAAAGGTACAACCAGAATACAGGAGAACTTATTCTGCTTTAGTCTATGCTAAACACCACCTTGACCTTGGTCTCCCAACAAAGGATATCACACAGTATCCCTAGGACCCACCATTGTCCTACCCTAGGCTAAACTTTAGCCCATCCCAGAATTCTCCACACCACACTTATTATCTAGTCTGAAGTGCCTATACATTAAAGCCAGTAAAATATTCTTTAAAATGTTGAACTAAGTCTCAGAGGTGCTCACAAGTGATTGAGGAAGGCATGACATAACTCTTCATCTTAAAATATAGTAAAACTTCTACCAGATGACAATTTTAGCTTTATTAGTTGGTATCCATCATCACTTCAGCTTGGCAAAAAGTATGGTATTTTGCTGAGCTGACAAGCAAAAAAATAAATCTCATTTCCTATGTAAGGAATTTCTCCCCTTTCTTCTCAATGCAGAAGTTATGAAAATGCACCCCCTACTTCATGACAGAAAACATGAATACCTGAAAACAAAAATCATTCTCTATTTTTCTGATTATTAAAAATCCTTGCCTGTTCTACCCATGATTACTCGTATGGTGCCAGAGAACGGAGACCTGTCACATTAAAATACATTATAAAATAATGAGGGAGGTACATAAATAATTCTAAAGGCAGGGTGATGCAACCTAGCCTGGAAAGGACAGTTGGAAATAAATGGAGAGAAGGATCCCTTTATTGCTTCATTTAGGTCTAATGTGCTGCAAAAGCCACAGGGTCCCAATAAAGTAGACTTTAAAACTCCTTAAATAGGCCTGTATTTGAAAGAACTACCACAAACAGACAATTACATCTATGAGCACACTCTAGGAAGGTTTTGTAATTTAGAAGGAGAAATAATAAGCTCTCTCATAACAGTAGGGTCAAGAGAGTCTCTGTCCTGCAGAAGTGAAACTAGCAGTTTCAACAGAACTAAATTTTGCAATGGGACTGCAGAATTGGCTTCATGTTTATGTGGTATTCTGGATCTAAATACACGTTTGTACAAAGGGATGATCAGGAAATTATTGGAGAAGAACTTTATCCCATCTGTTCTTTCTTCTGGTGAAAAAAATCTTAAGAATCTTAGGAAAGATTTGGGTAGAAGGGCTCTAAAAACTGAAAGTGTCACCACTACATTAATCGTTGGACTCAATGGTCATAGAGGATTTTTCCATCCATGATGATTCTATGATTCTATGATTTAAACAGACACTTATTTAAACCAGAAAGCCAATGGCAGATTAAAAAATGAAATACAGGTGAATATATTTACAGACTGAAATAACACATCTCAAGCATTGACTGTCTCTCTTGCTGCTCAGCCACAATTAGAACATTGTAAATAGTCAATGGCTTTTTTTTCCAGGTAACCTGTTCTAGGAAAAAAAATAATTAAAAAAAATTAGAGTAATATGTGAAACACAATAATGAAATAAACAGACAATAATTTTTAAAGTCTGTTTTCTTCCAACAAGGAAAATCCTATTGCTGTTGAAACATGCCCTGTATGTTACTCAATGGATACAGGTTATGTAAACAACTTGATTATATTTTTACCATGCAAGCAAAAAAAAGTTCAAATCACAAATAATATTTTTAAAAATATGTTTACACAACAGATAGGTCAATCAGATTTACCCATTAACAGAAAAAAAAATTAGAAAAACATATAACAAAGGCAACTGGTTTAGATGAGTTTTGTAGATGTATTCATTAGCTATCATACTATGTTAGAAGATGATAGCCACAGTTTTTATATATATATATACACATATATAAAAATATATGTAAAATATATATATATATACATATATATATGAATATATACAAACACAATAAAAAACTAAGAGCTGTCTTAGCTCATTGTGTTGGGTATCTTTCGCATACCCTGATCTTTTCCAGTGTGTTGCAAAGGGAGTTTAGGCACTTAACACAAATTTCTGGACATCAGTATAAGAGAAAGGTATGTAAACAATAAATCCTTAGTGAGTTAACCTTGTTGTAACCAGATAAACTGTTAGAAGGGCATTATGATACGATTATGCATTCATGATTACATTTCTGAAAATGGTCATTTATGAAAGTGATCATCCAAAAATAAATTAAAAAATCTTGCATTGTTGATGCAACAGGTATTTCCACTTCCTAGCAGCTCAAATTTGTCTTATTCATCTCCTTTACAATTCTCTCAGTATTACTACCGCTCATTTACCTTACATAAAAGATACCAAACTATTACAGAACTAGACATGCCACAAAGAAGTAATCACACAGGTACTGAATTCAGCAATATCATGTATCTTCCTTAAAGATAAAAGATAGCATAAGTTACGGGTTTTTAATATTCACACAAAACACAAAAACATTCCCGAATGTAAAAATTACAGACTAAGAGAGGTGATGCTTTGTATGCTATTACGAATTTCAACACTGAAAATACAAATATGAATAAGCATTAAATTGTCAAATGTTCTAAACAATGTTTAGTATCAAATAGTACCGCATCAAATAAATAATTTGGTGTTATTAAGAAAAGTAATTTTGTAAAGCATAGGAAATTGTCATTGTAGAAATACATCTCAGAACAAGAACTGAAATATTGCAGAACAATATGTGCCTAACACTGATAGGAGGGATAGTATGCTTGCTTATCCATTCTCACAATTTCTGTATCCTCTAGCAAATATAAAAAATTGCTCAAGTGTTGTTACTTACTCCTAATAGTATCAGTGGATGAAAGGCTTTAGGCTGACTATAGACTTTAAAATCTTTGCAGCATCGCAACAAATAGACATCTTCAGTAAGTTAATGTCCTTGACATACTTCTTAGAAGTGATCTAAAATTTCCTGTTAGAAGACAACACCTGGTTATCCAAGAAAAAGAATAAAATAGAAACTACTTCAGACCTATCTTAACATGAAAAAAAAGTAACAGGTAAAACTCCTCTGTCATTTTCTGCCATCAAAAAATTAATTTCTATGAGCAGAAAAACAAAACAGAACATTGAGCTACAGATATTCCCAGAAATGGAATGTCCCGTTTTAGATACTTGTCATACTGGTAGAAAGGGAGACTGAATTATCATGGGATTATACTACAATACTTCATCTAATTGAATATTTAAAACTAATTAATTTATAGAAGTTAAATTCTAGTCTTTTTACATAAATAAATAATTCTGAAGCTTTCCCAGAACTGTCAAATTAACTAGTTTTCCTGAACTACATTGTCTTGAACTAAAAAAGTTCAGTTGTTACATAATTAGGGTCTGATGAAAAAGAAGTAATTTTTTTTCACATATGCATATGTATACTTTAAAATATATCTAGCATTTGGTTACATATCCTACAGTTCTAAAATTAGATTGGGTCAAAACAGTTAAGCACTTTCTGTTCATTCTCTAAATTTATATGAAAATAGGATGGCAGTTTAGCACACAGTTAATCCACAGACTGGACTACAAGGACAGATGCTCTGAGATGTTAAACAGTTTAACATTTCATGTCTCTCTAGAGAAACAAAGTAGCCTGGAGAAGTTCATATATCTTCAGAATGAACACTGCCACCTTGTTTTTCTTTTTTTCTCCTGTAAAAGTACAACATTCAACAGACTGAATAAACCCACAAGGAGAACAACCAGACATGAACATTACCATCATCTGTACCACTAGGGTAGCAGGGAACACACTCTGGAATGGGGTTCTTCATGAACCAGTTTCAGCTTCCAATGTAAACTCAGAATATAAATCAACAAAATCGTATTCACCAACCGTTAAACCAACTTTGGCTTACACTTTGACAACCAACATAAATTCAAGTGAGTCTAGAGTGACCTTAGTCAATTTAATCTTTTTCTATCTGGATCTCACTTCTTCCTTTACAAGTTATATTTACTTTATACATCTTCATACTAACCTCATTACTAAGTCCATACTATTTGCAGTATTACTATACTCTATTACTTATGTTCCCTCACTCTTGTGTTATGACTAACTCACTTTGAATGCATACACAAGCATTTGCACATTGTATCTGTCTCAGTCAATTTGTCAGTTTAAACAATT